GCTTCAATAGTAGGCTCGTGCACGAGGCGCGCATGCTGTACGTGCACACTCCTTAACGAATATAACAGCTGAGACAGTCCCATGTGTGTGTGTGTGTGTGGCCCGGAGGACAGACGACAGGAGAACGCGCAGCTAATTAATTAAATAATTTGGTTCTGTTCCTTTCTCTTAAGCACAGCCAACAAAGGTTTAAGATGGGTCAGTCCTCCTGCATGGTATTGAAAAATTGTTCCAAAATGAAAGTTGAACCCACATCTTTTTTATCTGTGAATTCAATGCCGTTCGGCGCGTCTTAAATAAAAATTTGGGCATCTTACTGTAAAAAATATACCATTAATGTAAAAAATAAACTCTAAATAAACTATGTTCACATCCAGAATCGACCCGGATCTTCTGCACGAGAGTCCGACGTCTTAGTACGTGAGCTATAGCACCAGTGACATCCTTTGTATCTGTAACATTTATATCCTTAATGACAGCTGAAACAACGTTCAAAGAACGGTTCGGAGCGAAAATGGCTATTTTGTTGCTAATTTGCAGGAAATATCTAGAAGAAAGTAGCTAAGGTCCTCAGAAATGTAGCTAGGTTCATCACTAGGCGTTAGGAAAGTCGCTGAGTTGGCACTACCTCTCTCTCTGCAGCTAAAGCTACTGATAGCAAATACTACGGGCTATGCTTGAGCGTGAACGCGCATGAAGCAGCCTGCTCGACCCGAGCAGCTCTCTTTTTCTGTGATTTTACAGAAAAACAGGCAATCACAGTAAAAATGCCAGGGCTCATTCTACAGGACCAGGGCATTGCAGGAGAATGTATGAAGAAGAAATTTATTATTTCTATACATGTTTTGGCTGTCAAACTTCCATAATGCCCCTTTAAAGCAACACCAAATAGATTTTAACACTTAAGCTATTGCTTTCAAACTGGTTTGAGTGGATCTTCAGCCATAAACTCAAGCTACTTCATATTGGACAACACTCTGCACCCCTCAGCTGTCTAGAAACTGCACTTAATGGCTTTGTAGTTCAGTTAGAAACACTAGTGGGAGGTTTTTACCTGTTTTAGGGTATTAGCTGTTTACTGTGCTTGTAGTTAATATAAAAGCTAGCAGTTAGCTTCTTCAGTTTTCCAACCATCGATACAAAGCATAAGAAGAAGAAATTTGTGTTATTTAATGGCATCATGTTGGAGCCTGTAAGTAAAAGTAAAAGGGTAATGTCTTCAGAGGTGAAGCAAAAAGCTAAAGAGTGAATCAGTGAACATTGGTACGGTCTACACTTGTTCGAGAGAGCTGGAGGAGGCTATGAAATCATCAGAGTATCTGCAGGTTTAAGGGAGCAAAATTTAAGACGTTTTGCACTTTGACCAAATTTAAGCTGGGCAGCAGTAGCTCAGGAGGCTGAGTGGATAGTCCAGTAATCGGAAGGTTGCAGGTTCGATCCTGGCTCCGGACAGAGAATTATACTGTTGTGTCCTTGGGCAAGACACGTAACCCACCTTGCCTGCTGGTGGTGGTCAGAGGGACCGGTGGCGCCTGTGCTCGGCAGCCTCGCCTCTGTCAGTGCGTCCCAGGGCAGCTGTGGCTACATCGTAACACATCACCATCAGTGTGTGAATGCATGTGTGAATGGATCAATGATACACTGTAGTGTAAAGCGCTTTGGAGTCCTTACTCTGACATGCGCTTTACAAGTGTGCGTCATTTATCATTTTTAAACATTAAATTTAAGCTATAATTTCCAGCTATTGCTGGAACCGGTGCTAACCACGCTGTGATTGTGGGATTAGCCATCCAGTTACCATTAAACTTCCACTTCCCCATGGTGCAAGCTCCCACTAGCTTAACCGGCTAACGTGCTCATCTAAAAATAGCCCCCTTTCACAACTAACTGAATGTGTACGGTTCCGCTTATGCCAATATCATACACAAAAAATGCTAAACACTAACTAGAAATTCAAGAAAATTTTATAGAAATAAAAGAATCTTGTTTATTGGGTTTTTGGTAATTTAAGACCTCTGGAAAATGTATTTAAGGATTATTTGTCATTTTTAAGGATTTTTAAGGCCTTAAATCTGGAAAAGCTAATTTAAGACTTAAGACTTTTTAAGGACCCGCAAATACCCTGAATCATGGACTGATGATGATCTGGCTTTGTTGCTACTGGATAATAATATTTTTTGTCCAACAGTAAGGATCGTTTGGCTTGTGTTAGCACTAGCTTGTGTTAGCATGTGTTAGCTACAGCTGAAACAGCAGCCTATTGTTTGGCACCTGTTATTAAAAGAGACAACAGCACAATTTTCTGGTGGAAAATATGCTGCCAGCCTTCCGCAGATGTCACGACTAGCCCCAAAGTACCCGTGTGTCTGTGCCACAAGCTCATCCATGCGGGTTTTCAGCAGTCAGTCCACAACATCCTATGTTGAAGCTGGAAAAGGTAAACATGCTGGTATTTCAGGTGAAAAATCTTTTTATACGCTGCATTTTTTAAAGTTGTTAATATTACGTGTGTTAGGATGTGATTGTTTTAGTAATAGTTTGTTATTCTTTTGCAACACACATGAATAAAAATGTAATTAAAGCTTGAAATTATGAACACAGGGGTGTGTCCATTTGATTGATAAGTAGCTTGCTGGCAATAACAGAGTTGGACGTTTTTATTCCCAGAATCAAATTTTTGAAAGTAATTTAAAAGGAAAAATTGTATTTTGTTAAATGTAGCTCTTTGAGATAAATGTAAATCAGCCAACATTTTAGTCAGCAAGTGAGACAGAAAAGTAAAATTATATTTTGTTACCAACAAGCTGGCTTCCAGAGAGCTATGAGCTGAAAAGTAGATGATAAACCAAAGGATGATTTTAAAAAAAAAATTTAATCAGACCTTCTGAATCTACTTGTTCTATTTCCTCATTTCTAAAGCAAACGCTGCACAAAGGCAGCCAAAGTCTACAGAAATCCTCAGAAATTCTGAGGAACAAATGATCAAGACAAGAAAGTAGGGCTGCTTCAGAGATGATTTAAAACTAGCAAAATACTGCAAATAAAAAAAAAATACATATGTGGACATTTAAAAGTATGAACTGCAAAATAGTCTGACTTCTCAGAAATCCCACAATCCTTTTCTCTGTCCAATTCAAGTTTACGTGTACTTAATTTAGCCATTTTATCCACCAAAGATGGGAGAAAATGTCCAAAAAAATTCAACCCCAGACTTAACAAGAAGTTCTTATTTTTTACTAATTAGTTCTTCTCAGTGGATGTCTCTTCCTGTATGTAAACAAACCCCTGTTTTATGTGTTGCTCTCTCTCCTACACACACACACACACACACACACACACACACACACACACACACACACACACACACACACACACACACACACACACACACACACACACACACACACACACACACACACACACACACACACACACACACACACACACACACACACACACACACACACACACACACACACACACGGAACATCATCCACTGCTTTTCTTGGTTCTCAAACAAGCTGGCTGTGACCCAGCCACCCTTCAGCCAGTAAATACAGCTTGTTCTTTCTCTCTCTCTCTCTTTTCTTTTGGCTGAAGGGATAAAGAACAGGATGGAGGCTGAAGAAAAAAGACACAAGCAGCAAGTTTTAAACCTGTCAGCAAAATGAATCTTACATAAACATGCCAAAGTGGGAAAATAAGGCAAAAGCCCAGACTGGCTGTCAAAACATGCAGTCTTTTTTATCAGAACAAAAATGCACAAACAGAAAATAAAAGCGGGAGTAGGTGAGACTGCCTGCTTATTTACCCAGCTTTCTAGGGGAAAGTAAAGGAATCTATACAGATCTCTGTTTTATCTGATCTGGAAATCTGATTACGGGGAACCCAGACACAAGTTCTCAGCAAAGATCAGATCAAGTTCTGTAAAAACGATGGGAATGTCTGTAAGGGTCAGAAAGGCCCCGAGGAGCCTGATCTCAGAGGGCTCGCTGAATAATAAAAAATAAAAATAGGTTAATATTAGAGATTAACGGGTTTTGATTTTAAGGGCTGATACAAATGTTGGGTTCTAGTACATCTTTAACGTGCCAATTTGTTTTCTGATTAAAACTAAAAACTGAGACTTTATTTTAAGTGAAAAAAATTACAATGTATTAGCTATTATTGCTAACAAATTAGCGCTTTAGCGAGGGTGAATTCACAGACTCAGAAAAAAATCTGATGTTTTAAAATTGCTGCTTGGGAATGGTGCATTAATGGACCACAACAAAATCGTGATTTTGAATTTCAAAACAGGCAATCAGTGATTGTGAACACCAAATTGCTCTTGTGCATCTGCAATAAAAACACATGGATTATAAACATAATTTCAAACAGTAAATGTTTATCCTAACCATGGGTTCAAAATACAGAAAACAAGGAGCTGCTCATCTGAGGTCCTAGTAATGCCTGATCAGTTTGTATTTTTACACAAACCTATTATAACGCTATTCATTCAGCCTGTGTCAGTCCAACCAAACAAGATAAACCAGAGTCAGAACAGATGAGATCGTGTGACACAGACTGATAACCCACATTTACTATCAGTCCTAATTCGGCCTGGGCGCCACTTGTGGCCCTCAAAGTGATTTTGTGTAGTCCATGGTTATCTGAGCTTTTCTTTTCAACTCCTGTACCCCTGCATTAAAATTTAATAAACTAGACAAGTGGAGGACAACAGAAGTCACACTGGGGAAACAGTAAACATCCAGGCCAGAGAGAAGCATTTTCTAGTTCATCATCTACTAATTGACAAGTTTTCAGCCAATAGCAATTCAGAAATAAACCTGTTGATGCTGAAAAGCAAACTTTATGTGTTATATTTTGAACTGTTTATAGTTTCTACAAGGAAAAAAACAACGCAGACTAGAGTAACTGCACAGACTGATGAGTGACTTCAACTTTTTGTGACTTTTAAGGCTCGCTCAGAGAATATGATGTGATTTACAGTCACTTACAGTGCTGGTGTTATTCAGCAGCGCTGACTCTACTCCATGCAAAGCCGTGCAAGTCTGTTCATTCAGCCCACCGCTGTGCTCCGTCCTCTCTGAAACAAGTCGCGCCGACTGCTGCCTCCTCACGCGGGACAAGCCGCTTACCTCCTGTTGATATCTACCCAGCACTGGAGAAAGCAACCCGAGCGCCAAAAAGTAACACACGGAGTTCATAATTGCTAAAAGAGCTGCTCAAACTGTGGACACTACCAGAAACTTCACTGTCCATCGATGTGTTTGCTGCTCACGCGCCCCCTCCTCATTGCCAAAAGCATCTTCACAGCGGTCCATGACCGCCGCCTGTGATTGGTCAGGAGTAGAGAACCCTGCTCTCTGATTGGTCGACGAGAATCTTCTTCAACAGAGCTGATATTTCCTCTCTGGTACTACACTGCCTCCTAGTGGAAAGGATGCTATTAAACTAGCAAACGCCTCATTAAAAGGGATTTATTCTGTCAATCTATTTAGCATTCCAAAAACTTAAAAAGACAGAAGAGACAGTCTTACACAACATGCCTATTTTTACTGTCGAAGATGCGAGAAAAATACATGTTCCTGAAATTTTAAACCACACTGAACAGAAATTTAAAAAAATCAGCTGTTTAATTTAATCTTAATTTTTTTACGCATGAACATTTGTTGAGGACATATAAAGTTGACATTTTTCAACAACTAGAAGAAAAAAAAAACTAAAGTAATCTTGGAACAATCAAACACCACATCTCCATTTTAACACATTTGCTCTAAATAGGTCTATTTTCAGCGCTAGTTGACAGAAACGTATACTTGGTGTACATGATCAAGTTTATACTACATGTGTCCGGTCAAACACAGTCCTACTATATAGTTATATTACGCCTAAAGATTACTTTAAAGCCATTACGAACTTGCAGTGTAAAATTTATAAGCAAGCACATTATCCAATTAATTCCCATATGCAAACCAAATAAATAACCAAGCCAAGCCAACTTTATTTGTATAGCAACTTATAACCATATGAAACTGACCAAATTGCTTTACAGAATTAAAAAAGCAAAACACAAAATATACATCCTTGAATACATAAAACCTATGATAAAGACTTGCATGCTATGTTAAAAGCCAAAGCATTAAAAAAAAAAAGAGTTCCAAAGCCCAAGGGCCAATACCATCATCCCTGAGCTTATGCCTCCTTCTATTGACTTCCAGGAGCAGCCTATCAGCTGACAGACTGTGAAAGAGAGTGAAAAACCAACAGCTCAGAGGTAACTCAGAGCAAGACCATGCAGAGACATTAAAAGTTCCTTAAACTGGATTCAAAAATGTATAGGCAACCAGTGCAGTGAAGCCAAACTGGAGTAGTATGGTCCATCTTTCTCATTCCATTGAGCAGAGGTGCAGCCATATTCTGCACCAAGTGACGACTACAGAGATGAGACTGGGAAACACCAAAGTACAACCAACTACAGTAATTAAGTCTCGATGTAATAAAAGCGTGAGTTATGGTCTCAAAATATTTTTTCAAAAGCAAGTTCTTTACCTTTGACGACCCTTCTCTGTTGATAACTAAATTTAGTCACTGCACTGATTTGCCTGTCCAAGATAAGATCCCTGTCCAAGCCAACACCCCGGGACGTCACTTTAGGTTTTCAAAAAGAGGCAAATGGACCAAGGCCCAGTCCCCAGACAAGACAATGAGCAAAAACAACACTCCTATGTCTTCTTTTCAATAAAAAGAAGTAAGTTTGAAAACATCCAAGATATTTTGAGAGGGAATTCAGACGGATGATGACCTCTATTAAAGGGGATGTATTGCTGGGTACCATCTGCATGGCAGTGGAAATGACACCAGTTTCCTGAAAATCAGACCAAAAGGCAGCAGATTTGAAAACTACAGGCTTAATACAGAACCCTGAGGAACCCACAAGTGAATGAAGAGAAGTGATTAACAATTAATGTCTGAAATCTAGAGAATACAGAATTCCTGCTACAATCGTGTAAAAATTAAACCTGAATGTTAAAAAAAATGGACTAAACAAACCTCATAATTGGAATATGTTTAAAAAAATAAATAAATAAAAAAAGAGTCAGTCATTTTTTGAGTACAACTGTTTATTATAGTATTGATCCGTAACAAAAAAATACCCCCCCCCCCCCGAAATTTTCCCACCATTCAGCTTTAAATGCTGATCACACTCCCATGAACAAGGTGCCCAGACACTGTTAAGTCAGAGGTAAATCACATTACAAATAGAAACCTCCAAAAAAGACTGCTGTAGGTGATTTGTGATGGTAGGCCCAGGCACCCCTTCATATCCTTGCATCTCCAGCCCAGAGCTAGAGTTTCTTCTCTAGATATCCTTGATCACATCCTCCAGCTCCTCTTTGGAGTACATGTGGAACGTCTTACCAGGTTCGACTGTTGCAAGCTGCAAAAGAGATAAAAATGTGCATAAAAACCAGGGATTTAAACATCACAGAGACCCATCAAGGTACAAAGACAGCTTAAACAAACACAATAAGTGTGAAACAAACCTCAATGTTGGTGGCATTGAGCTTCTCCTCCATCACCTGCTTCAAAATGGTGAGAGATGACTTGATGGCATCTTTTAACGTCATAGACTGTTAAGCAAACACAGAAACTTATCAGTACTAGTTTGTGTCCACTCACACAAGAGAATAAAACATTTTATAGATTTATATTGCATTTAAGTAAAAGTTTATTTCTATGACAAATTTTACAAACAGAAAGTGCTTCATAAAGCTGCTAAACATAGAAAACATAAAACTGTCATAAAAGTGTATTGATTGCTTTTGTCTTCAGCTCTAAACTCTACAGGGAGTCTAAGTCTATTCCGGACTATGGGTCCCCGGAAGAATGAAAAAATAACAACGGGGCTAAAAACACTTTTTTATAAGTCCGCTTGTTATGTGCCATGGATTTCACATATGATGTATGTGAAATTTAAAGACGCATTTTGATACCAAAAGCGTGCTTATTTTTGAACGTGGGGAACAATATTTTATGTTTTGTGTGAAAATAAGTCCAAGATTACAAATGCGCTTCACGAAAGTGACGTCATCGAACCAGACATGGAGAAAACTGAGGGAAAATGGCTGTAAGTTCAGCAAACGTCCCCCCGGAGGAAAGAACCACCATAAATCTGGTCATGTGGTAAGTATGTTTATGTATTTAGCAGACGCTTATGTCCAAAGCGACTTACAAGTGATAATCGGCATGTTGCCCTTGGGGCTAACAACAACAATAACAACAACAACTTGACATCAATCATGGAGATGAGGGAACAAGGAGTGGACAGTAGTAGCTGTAGTAGTAGTAGCTACTTTGGGGAGGGTTTATGTGGTGACGTCACATTTGCCATGTGCTGATTTCTAGTCTGCAGTCATGCAAATTACAAACTTTTACAAGCTAATAAATCTCAAAGTACGTAACTGGTGTGGTTGAAACACCCATCCTTACTTTTCATTTAAATTGCAGTACAACATGTGTGTGATCCAGGGCGTAAGGCAAAACGGATTAGAAATTAGCCTTTTTAGCCCTGTTGACTTGCATTCATTTTTTCGTTCTTCCGGGGACCCATGGTGCAGAAGTGACTTAGGCTCCCTATAAACAAAAGAAGTGTGTTCCACAGTCTGAGTGCTACTGCACATCTAGGTTACATTTAGAGCCGTTTCCACCATCAGAACTTCTGGGTAAGACTTCACAATTTGCACATGTCCCCCTGGGCCGGCATGAAATGACCTCTTTCCGGGCCTTGGGTATGTACTCAGAAAGGCCTGGTCGAGTCGCTGGGCGGGACCTTTTGGTTAGCTCGTGCTGATAGGTTGTAATTCAGTAGGAAATTACATCAGAAGATGTTGCCAAACAACCAACATTTGTAAAATTGGAAGAGTTGGGCCCAATCCCAGTACTCGCACTGCGGTCTTCAGCAAAATGCACTTTGAGAAAGTGCGAACGGCTTAGAGTGCGTAGTACACAAGTGTGCAAGTAATTGCTGAGTTGGGACAGGGAGCATTGCGCTATCGACTGCAATGCATGCCGGGATTCTGGTCACTGCGGTACTTTTTAAAAAATTTTTTTAGAAACTTAACAACTTTCAAACACACAACCAAACCATTATTTGAAATATATTTACATTAATTTCTGCTTTGTCTAAAAGTTTCAGAGCATCAACTAATCATCCTAAAATGAACTACTTTCATTAGAAAATACATATTTTTAGAAAAGACAATAGAGCCTTTTCTACCTAAGCAATAGACTGTGGGCAACACCCATCACCCATTGATGTGGACTCGAGTGAAGTGCAGATCAAGTGTGCAAAAGGGGCGTGATCAACATCTGCACTTGAGAATCGGGACACCCTACGCACTCACATCCCTGGTCGAGATTGTGCAATTGAAGGGAGCAAGTGTGGAAGTGCGAGTATTGGGATTGGGCCTTGCTGGTGAAGTAGAACGGAAGGAAAAGAAAATAAGCAGCATTGGTACTGCTTTAAAATCACCGTTTCTAAAGTTCCAACACCAGAAAATATGACAGAAATACCTCCACAACACCTTAACTTACGCTGCTTTGTGATCTCCCACAAAACACCATTAAAAACCACATTTCTTCAGGTTGTTGAACACCACTTCATACATCACACAGCCACTCTCTTAACAAATCTCCTGAACCGCAAAAATATGGCATAGTTTGACAGATATTAACATCTCTAATGTCATTAATAACTGTGGGTACGGATGCCATTTGGTGCCCATCAGCGAATTCACCCACTGCTTGAGATGAGCTGATGCCTTAGCAAACTCCTTAAATGAACAATTTAATATGAAGACACAATGGCTTAGATATGCAACCAAGGAGTATACGGTCACTGCAACCGTCTGCTAGCTTGGACCACAACAGTGGTAAAAGTAAACGTGATACAAATGGACAAGGTTACATGCAACAGTGGTCAGTGGTACCTTGTGGTAGACCTCTTGCAGAGAGCTTTGAGCTCCCTCTGACGCAGATCCGATGGCCCGAGCATCACACTGAACAAAGGTTCCTGATGGGTCCATGTGGTAGCTGGAATTCAGGGAAAATGTTTTATCTTTTATCAAACAAATTCAAAGATGCCTCTATTAAGTGTTGTAAAAAGTTGCAACATTTATGTGCACATACAGCTGAGGGCCCTTTTCATCAACTCCCCCAAAGAGCAGAGCTACACCAAAAGGTCGACTCTGAGTAAAACAGAAATAGCAAAACAAGGCAGTTAACTTTATGTGTGCTTTCACAGTTCAAAAACAAGGAGCTGGTCTGAGAGACTGACCATGGCACCAGGGTCTGCATCCTCCTCTCCAAACTGCAGCGCCAGGTTAGACACGGCCTGAGTCACACTTTCCACAGTCATCGTCTCGTTGTAAGTGAACCAGTGGTTCTAAAATGAGACAGAATCAAGTTAACAAAACCTAAATCAATACACATCTTTATTTACAACCTAACTCGGAATCCATACTTGTGTTTCCACTCTTGCTTTGTCAATCAGAGTCTTCGCATCAGCTATTAAGCCACTCATGGCACAACCTGAAATGGGAAAAATCAAGACAGGAATTATATATTTTTTTATTTAAAAAATGCATATTCAAAAAGGACATTTAATTCAGCATTCAAAAATAACACAAATACAATCAAGTTAAAGAGCAAGTCACCCCTAAATCAACTTTAGTTTGTGGATATACTATATAAATGACTGTCTAATCGTGCTATAAAACATGCATAGTCAATACTTTGGCATTTTACTGCATTTTAGTTCATATTTAATTATTCTGTCTAAAACTGTCAGTGTTGAGTGCTCTTCAGGTAAACACTCTGCACTGCATTTGAATTTAAATCTGCCATCGCTATTGGCTACGAGGTAGTGTCTGATGTTAGCTGGTACAAAATGATGTCACAATATCATTGTGAACCTGTTTGTGTTTATATTTGTCGGCGGCTCTGCCCTCTCGGTCTGCCAGGCAACAGCATTTGTTGTTTTTTAGGGAATTGGAGTAAGACTCTGGTAGGGGGGGACTTGCTCTTCAAAGTAATTTGAAAGAATTTTATTTAAAGGGACTTTACGGAGTTTTGAATTTTTATGCTCGCGATTGCCCCCTCAGGCCAAAAGCATAATGGCAGCTTCAATAGTAGGCTCGTGCACGAGGCGTGCATGCTGTACGTGCACACTCCTTAACGAAATAACAGCTGAGACAGTCCCTTGTGTGTGTGTGGCCCGGAGGACAGAAGAACGCGCAGCTAATTAATTAAATAATTTGGTTCTGTAACTTTCTCTTCAGCACAGCCGACAAAGGTTTAAGATGGGTCAGTCTTCCTGCATGCTCAGATAATTCCATTCCCTCGCTTGAAAAATTGTTCCAAAATGAAAGTTAAACCCACAACTTTTTATCGGTGAATTCAATGCCGTTCGGCGAGTCGCAAATAAAAATTTGGGCATCTTACTGTAAAAAAACAAACAAAAAACATTAATGTAAAAAATAAACTCTAAATAAATTATGTTCACGTCTGGAATCAAACCCGGGTCTTCTGCACGAGAGTCCGATGTCTAACTAGGTGAGCTAAAGCACCAGTGACGTCTACTTCATCTGTAACTTTTATATGCTAGATGACAGCTGAAACAACGTTCAAAGAACGGTTCAGAGCGAAAATGGCTATTTTGTTGCTAATTTGCAGGAAATATCTAGAAGAAAGTAGCTAAGGGTCCTCAGAAATGTAGCTAGGTTCATCACTAGGCGTTAGTTGGCACTAACTCTCTCTCTGCAGCTAAAGCTACTGATAGCAAATGCTACGGGCTATGCCTGAGAGTGAACGCGCATGAAGCAGCCTGCTCGACCCGAGCAGCTCTCTTTTTCTGTGATTTTACAGAAAAACAGGCAATCACAGTAAAAATGCCAGGGCTCATTTTACAAGACCAGGGCACTGCAGGAGAATGTATGAAGAAGAAATTTATTATTTCTATACATGTTTTGGCTGTCAAACTTCCATAATGCCCCTTTAAACATCAGGGAAAATTATTGTGTTACATTGTTAATAAGCCCATAATCTTATTTTAGTGTTCAAGTGGTTTTTATTAATTAAAATTTGCCTCAACAAGCCTGTTTGTGTTTCCACATACCAATGTGACTGTCAATCTCCACGATCTTCTCAATGCTATTGGGCTCCATCAGTGGAGAAGTGATCCTCTTTTCCACAGCCAGACAGACTCCCTCTGACGTCTGGATACCGATGGCTGTGGAGCCCAACTGAGAGAGCAAACCCGAACCAAAGAAAACCAGTGAGTTTGAATGTTTGATGTACTGAATCACACACGAGGGGTCAAAAAGTCTACACAATACTCACTTTTATTGCCTCTATGGCATATTCAACCTGGAACAACCGTCCCTCTGGAGAGAATGTGTTTACGCCTCTAAAGGAATAAATGAAAAGGGTTATTGTTGACGAATGTAAGACTAGCAGAGAGCTGATTAAACAGGATTCCTAAATTTTATATTAAAACTTTTCCAGATCCAAATATTTAGACTTTTCTGTCAAATATTCGAGCCATTTATTGAGTTAAAAATACCTATTTGTACTAGAAATGTTTGGTTGAGTTTTGTTATCTATAGAAATCAAATACCAAAAAAAACAAAAATAAACTGACAGCAAAGCAGTTATGAAGTCTGTGAACATTGAACCTAAATATGGAACAACATCTGCGAACACAAATGTTTTTCATTATATTACATTTCATCTTATTCTAATCTGGAACTTCGTGACTTTTCCACTCTCCATTGAAAGCTTGATTGAAAGTGTAGGGCTATTGATACTGAGGGCAAACCATAAGTTAAATAATGACTTTCTAATAAATAAGACGAAATTTTAAAAATGCATTACGAAAGTGAAAGCACTGCAATACAACTGTTAGCAGTTAGCTAACTACCAGAACAACAAAGTTAAACAAATCGAAGGATAGAGAGCATTTTTCGTGTCCATTAATCCATTAAAGTGCCATAATTAAATGTTTCACACGGGTGGAGAAAATACTTAGTAATGGATTCGTAACACTGGATTGTTCATAAATGACAAAGCAGTTCGTGCTACACTTACCTGTCATATTCCGATCTGGTCAAAAACATCTTTGAGCACTAAGCCTGCAAACACAAATGGACTTTAATGGCAGGCTACTAATCCATATAGATAAAGTAAATACACCTTAAACCACGAAATCGACTATATCAAATGTGTTCTGGCTGAGAAGTTAGCAAAGTAAGCTGCCGCAACGAGCATGCGTTAGCAAACTAGCGATTAACCATGAGATTCTAAAATGCGTCCAAAATAAATAATAAATAATTTCAACTACATTTAAACAATTATGTGCGTGCTACTTTGTAAATTTCTTCAAAATAACCACATTTAATAACGTCGTTTACCTTCAACCACTAACCCTTGAATGAGTTCGCTTGTTTCGGGAAAGCGTACTGGTGTCACGTTCATTACCTCCCGGTTGACAACGAGTCTGTAGCTAAAGTTCCGAATATTTTATTTATTCATATGTATATATTTTCGGTTGCTGTTGTTGTTTTTACAATCGCAGGTTTAATGTTGAAAATATGGAAGAATCATCCTGGCAAAACAAGAAATGAAGGAATAAAATGAACAAATAAATTCCAATTAAAATGTCACAGTTTTATATATGTTTCCGACATTATTTATTTATGTATTTATTTACTTATTTCTAGTTTATTTGTTTCCAGTTTCATTCAGTTATTTCCAATTGTATTTATTTACGTAGTAATTTATTCATTTAAAATTTTAAATAAACACATACATAAATAAATTATTCTTTTTATACCTAACTGCCTACATTTTGTTATAGCTTGGTGTAAAGAACTATGCAGCAGCCCTTGTTGTGCTATTTAAATCAAACTGAGGTTTATTTTTTTAAGTTAATTTGTGAACTGGGATTTACGTTGTCACTTTTCCACAAATAATAAAAACATACTGAAATTCTGTAATACAGAAATGCAATTTGTAAAAACTCCTACCGGTACACAGATTCATCCTCTCTTGTCACAAGTCCCAACTGTGTTATTGAATGCAAGTTTATGAATAATGCTAGCTGGAAAATGTAGTCAAATATGCTTAATGCATACATGATAAGACTATATGCTGCTCCAGTGGAGAAGAGCTGGTACTAATGACCCTATACCTTGACCTTAACACAGTTGATTGAAGGGATGTGTATGTCTTTCGGCTTTTCACGCAGGTTGTCTGAGACTATTTTTATTTTAAGATGAGTTATAGCCACTGAAATTTAGATTTATAAATGTTTCTGTAGAGCTCAGCTGGGAGCATCTTTATGTGAAGCCTGATACCACCAGAAATTCAAGTACTAAACTGCCATTTTATTGCTTCACTTACAAATGTATGTAAGTATTTATTAAAGCTATTTACGTGACAATTCAACAACAAAAACCATATTTGCTTTTGTCCCCTGTAGTACTTAGATTGTCCACCAGATGGAAAAGTACACATTATTCAACACAAGTAGTAATCTTGCTTTTATCAATTGTAAGGTTTTGGGCGTAAAAGAGTTAAAATCTGCCTAATTAAGAAGGCAAACAACAACAAAAAAATTATTTATTACTGTATGAAAATAGGTTGCTGTCTAAGAAATTTTGATTAAGTGCCTTTGAGGAAAAAGTGCCTTTAATGTTTTTGGGTAGGTTTGTTTAAAATATAAAAATAGTTTAATCCGTGTAGATCACACTGTTCTTGTAGCTACTTAAAGCAGTTTAGTTAATAAAACAAATTTGATAAGATATTTGGTTTATTGAGAGGTTGTCCTGTAATTCGTCACAGGGGGAGGTTCGGTGGGTGTTGGGTTTTCCTCGGGTTGGTCCTGTTTGGAGTCTGATGCGTCTCAGAGAAGATGTGACTCTGACGGCGAAGAGGAATGTGAAGCAGGAAATGTATGGCGGCTGTCAAGATGACCAAGATGAGAGATGGTGTTCTTCAGGTTCTGCTTAGTGAGTAGATTCAAGTTCTGCAACGTTTGTCTTTGTAGTTAAAAATCTGCCAAAGTCGTTTTCTAAAGAGATAATTACAGTTTTTTCCCCTTCAGTAAAACAAATCTGGACACCGTTTTAATTATTTTCCCTGGACATGTTGTAGCCAGAAAGCAGCTCCAGGCTTTAACTAATCTCTGCCCCGCATTTATCGATTTATTTATATCAGTTAGATGAATATCAGAATGGCATCATGAACTGGACATAAGTTGGAAAATTGTAGTTTAATGATGGTGTATTTTTTTTCTTGGAGATATTTGCAGAATTTCGCTTGCCCTTCAAATATGTTGGATTTGAAATGCATCAGTCCAACAATGAGAGATTTGTGTTTGCGTGAGAAGTAAAATCTCCTCTGTTGTGTTTTTGTTCCAGTCTCTGCAGTCCTCTTCTTTACAGGTAAGTTTTTCTTTGACCAGCTGAGACTAACATGTGCTTTCCTCCTCTTACTGAAACCTCTCTCCTGTTTTCCAGCATCATGCCAGTCTGACAGCAGCAGTAGCGTGGTGGTTGCGGGTTATAATGTCAGTGCCCTGGCCGGCTCCCAGGTGGTTCTGCAGTGTGTGAGCGGCCGCATGGTGTGGACCAGGGACCAGATGAGGGACAGGCAGAGGGTGGCCCACTGGGACATTTATCGGGATTATGCAGACTCCCCAATGGAGAGGGTGGTGGACATGTTCTCAGCAGGAGAACATAGGATCTACACCTCCAAAAACCTGGGCAGGGTCAGCCTCAACCCAACAGCCTTCAAGGATGGAAACTTCTCTCTGGTCATCAAAGGTCCCATCACTCATTCACTCTCATGGGTGTTGTTGCAGATTTCTTACACTTCAATATTCCAGATCTGCATCAAGAAGTTTCAGTACCAGACAAGATCATCTGTTTAAATGCAAAGTGTGGTTTTCAAAGGAGAATTTCATTTATTAAGGGTAAAAAACAACCAGGCCTTGTGTGAAAAAGTAACTGATCCACAAGCTCTTTGAGGAACTTTGTAAACCAATCATAGTAACTGGTAATGAGTCAGTCTAGTGGAGTTTGGTTCCACTCTTCATGTTTTAAGCCAGTTTAAGGTCAAAGGTCAGACACTTTCCATCAGAATTTTCTGGTAGAGAAAAGTATTCATGATGCAGCAAGTCCTCCAGATCCTGCAGCAGCAAAGCAACCCCAGACCAACACACCACTACCACCGTGCCTGCTTGTATGTGTTTTCTGACATCAGGTGTTAGTTTTGCTCCAGATGCAACGAGATACACATTTCATAAAGTTCCACTTTTGCCTCATAGTTTGCTTTTTGAGATCTTTCAGCTTTCTCCGTGTTCAGGTTGTGTTGAAGTGATTTGGCCTAGGTGTGGTTTGTGAAACTGAGCCCATCTTTGTGCTTAATTAAAGGGATACTAGGCTGTTTTGCTTGCTTTTAGCACCCCCTAGTGTTTGTCATTATTTCTCTGCGGTTAAACCGAAAATCTCCTCACTGCGCGTTCGTCTTTTTAATACCTTAATCTAACAGCTTAAACGTCTCCTCAGTCTTCCTTGGTCTCTAGAGGAGTGACTCATCACTGAATTAAAAATCAGCTGTGTTAGCAATCTGAAACATGCAGGAAACATGGTGGAAACAGACTGCAGCTCCACTCCACTCCAAAGCTCCCTCCACCAGCAGGGAGTGGCTACCAAGTCTGAAGTTGCAAGTGCAATATTTTGGCCATGGGGGTGGTGGGGTCTGAGCAACATTTCATTCACCTTTTGAGGGTTAAATGTTGTTTTAGGCTGAAGAAAATGATTTTAAAATATGAAAATGTGGCATATGGCTCTAAAGTGCACGTGTTATTTAACAAGAGAGGAATGACTTTTTCACATGGAGCCAGGTTGGTTGGGATTGCATTTTCTTTCTTTAATAAATGAAATCATTGTTGAAAACTGAGTTTTGTATTCCATCAGGTTGTCTGATTTAGAAAATTTAAGTGTAACAAGACCTGCTAGAGAAATCTGTTAAGGGGGAAATACTTGAGCAGCACTAGTTGTTTTCTGTTGTTACCATTTCGTAAATTAATCAGTTTAAAGCCTATGTAGTTGTTTGAATTATAACTAAAGAGCATAAATGACTCTATTTGCAGCAGCATAGTGTTATGATTGATTATGCCAAAACAAGGACTGTTAAAGAAAATGATTCCTCTGTATCTAGTCCAAGCTTGCATGTTATTGTTTCCATTTAAAACATCAGAAACTTGAGATATGTTTGCTTGCGCAACCTGGATGGTTTTAAAAGATAGCAGGCCTCTACTTTAAAAAAAAACTCTCAAATTAGCATAATTTTTGTTCGGAGTCAGATGGGTTGAAACAAATTTGTACCTAATGTTATAAATGTTACAATCTGAGCATCATATGCACATAAACACTGTCCAGGCACGACCAAACTGCATCCATATTGGATCAGTTTTTCTGTTCTGATTGTTTCTATATGTGTTGACAGATGTGAGAATGAATGACAGAGGGCTGTATTTCTGTAACCTCCACCATCTCTACTGCCACCTGTATGAGACGGTCAGAGTTCAGCTCAATGTGACTAAATCACGTATGTCTGACTCCAATCCCCAATAAATGAGAGCTTACGCTTCCTCACAAGCTTCCTGTTTGACAGCTGATCTTCTCTCCTCAAAGGCCGCAAAGAGCAGCGATTCTGGGATGGACAGAAGGCTGTGTACGTGGTGCTAGTCGGGAGCACAGCGGTGTTGCCCTGCATCAACAGACGGACCGTGTGGACAGACTGGAGCAATGAGGAGGAGGACCAGCAGGTGCGTGAATCCTCAGAATAAATATGTTTTATTAATTTTTTTATTAACTTGAAGAGGTGTCATCATTCAGGTTGTCCACTGGGACCGCCAGCCACCAGGAGTCCGCCATGACCTCGCTGATCGGCTGGTGGATCTGTACGCCTCTGGGGAGCAACGCAGCTACGGACCTCGGTTCCTCCAGACGAAGATGAACATCAGCAATCAGGCCTTCTCAAAGGGAGACTTTTCACTTACTATTTCGGATCTGCAGGTTTGTATGTTCAGATTGGGATAAATAAAACAAAAACACAACATATTGGAGGGTTTCTCAAACAATTAACAGCCTGTGAAAGGTCAAAGGTCAGAGCTCATGGTTGCATCAATTACAGCAAGGCAGGCCCCAAGCACAACTTGAAAACCTACGACTCGCGTCTGCAATCGACCAATGAAAACATACCTTTGGGATGCCGCAACAGCAAGACTCTGCATCACTGAGCTTCGGTTTCAATTTATGTTTAAAATGCGGATTATAAACTACACACCAGTTTTTATTTCTGTTAATAGCCCAAGTTAAACAGGAGTTTTACCTAACCTATTTGTAGACCTTCAAAAAAGTTGTGAAAACCGTGATTCTGTGATCATTGCAAGAAACTGCCAGTGTTGCGCCCTCTTTAGGTTAAAAGTCTACATTGCATGCAAATTTAAATCTGCCATCGCTATTGGCTAAGAGGTGCACTATGATGTTAGCTGGTAAATTATGATGTAAAAAGGCAAATACGTTTTCGTATGTCTGTATTATGTGTGGACATGTACTTGGTGGAAAGTATTTCATTTGTGTGTGCGTGTGTGTGTGTGTGTGTGTGTGTGTGTGTGTGTGTGTGTGTGTGTGTGTGTGTGTGTGTGTGTGTGTGTGTGTTTGGAACATATGTAACACTCATTAGTAATGTAAAGCTTGTCGAGTCAAAATTCATGGGCAAACTGGGAACTGGTAACCACAGCGATCGCATGAATGAAAACATGCGTAGCAGCTGTTCCCATTTGTTACAAGCAGGATTATGGGTGGAGACAAGGAAATTAAAGATTTTCCAGCAATTTAGAGAAAATGATTGAGTGGTTGAGCTCAGAAACAAGAACGTTTGGGACAAGTAAAGAATCAGTAAAACACAGATCAGTGTGAGTTTAGCTGTTGTTTTCAAAAGCTTAACTGCTTAAAAATAAAGATAAACTTTCTTTTTTTTCAGATCTATTATAGATTTTTACATTTTTTTTGTACATACTTGTTACGAAATTGAGACGAGGGCCTGCCGAATTACAGCTGTGCTGCTCAAAGGTTCAAGAGCGCTGGAGTTTCAGCTTTCTCACTTTGAGATCATGATTTTACGTGACTTTTCATTGTTTGTCTGGTATCTGCCTCTTCATCCAGTGTCCTAGTGGGCAGGTTGATTATTTATAACAATGTTTCAGATATCTGAAATGACTTAATTAACATCTTACTTGTTGTGGAATGACCTCAGTTTGGAGAAATAGAGGTTATTTCTGACCAAACTGAAAACGGGTGTGATGTTATGACTTAAATCTGAAAAATGTAATTTTTCTTTATTCCAATGCTGTTTCACAAACATTCATGAACTCTTGCATTAGGATTACGTGGTTATTGTCCACACAACTATAAAATTATTTACAAGCAGTAGCAGCAGCAGCAGCAGCTAGCTTTAGCTGCTTTTTGATCCACAGGGGCATTTATAACAGAATTTTGTCCAAATTTCTGTTAAAATAACAATTCAATATAAAACTAGTGATGATATGAAGCTTTATAAATATGTGCTAAGATGGGAGGAACCGGTTTTAAATTTGGGCCCAAATTGCACTAGCCATTAGCTTATCAGTTTAGTGTGAATTAAGCTTTATTCGTCCAAATAAAGGTTTTTTAAAGATAAAGACAAACTATTTTTTATTCATACTTCTTCCAGAGAATCCCACGTCAAGGGTGACTGTATTCCTTCAAATGAAAAGATTTAAAGTACAAACTTTTAAAAGCATCAGACAGAGCCAGTCCAAGGCATGAAGAAAAATGTTTTAATAACTTTAAATACTATAAACTGAATAATTTTTATCTATATTAATTTCTGTAGTGTCATTTGGTCTTATTTTGTAGTGCAGCACATTTTACACGTTTCAAGAACATACGATAGTAAACCTAACATTTTTACTGTAAATTCAGTGTTTGTCTGCTGATGTCTATTTCAAATATTTTAATAATTTGCCACACTTAAAAACACTCCGCAATTTAAAATGCAAATTAATTAGAGTGTGGTGGTATGGGGGCCTCAAAGGGAAATCTGCCCCACAAAGGCTTGGGCCGGGCCTGGCATCAGATCTGCGGCTCTTTGTGTTTGATGCTTTATAGTGAATCATATCAGCATTATCTTTGCATTAATTCTGTCACAGTTTGCATTACTTGGTCTTAGATTCATTTTGCTGTATATTTGTGTGTTTTTACAGGCTACAGACCAGGGCACTTACTCCTGTCACCTTCACCACCATTACTGCGGTCTGCACGAGAGAAGAGAGTTTCGGGTCAAAGTCGAGCCGCCGCTGATTCAGGCCACAGAGATGGTTAAAGCTCTTCCTGGTCAAGACAAAGGTGCAAGTCTTCCTTCTTTAGTGACTCCGAGTGGGCCCGAGAGCACCGGCACAGAGCAGATGCTTCATCGCTTAACTTCTACATGTTTAATCAGGAGCAGACACACATCTGTTCTTTCCTTTCCCCTCCACTTGTCCTCATTCACCCTGACTCGTCTCCTCTCTCTCAGACTTTCCAAGCAGCACAGAAGCAGAGGAGGAAGTTTTCTGTTTGTTTTCTTTAGGGAGTTTTTCGTCTTGCAGCGTCAGCTCGTCTGAAGCAACTTCTTTATCCAAAGGTGTAAAACCAGCCTAATGTTGCAGATTTGACATACAACACTTTTTTTTATCTATTCTAACTTGGTGTCAGTGCACTTGTGGAAGATTTTCGGGAGAAGGAAAAAGGTAAAAAACCAAAAAAGATTGGGATTTTGTCTACACATTCTTGAACAAGAGGGTTTCTGGTGTGTGTGTGTGTGTGTGTGTGTGTGTGTGTGTGTGTGTGTGTGTGTGTGTGTGTGTGTGTCTGAGAAAGCCGACCTCACTTCAGAAGAATCTCTTGGACACATTCTTTGACTGAAGTCCAGCTCTTCCCACAGAAATAATCCCGCTCTCTCCGAGCTGAAAAAACAGCTCTTTGGGAACCTAACAAGCCTGATTTGTCTCCAGTTCAGCACTAGTTTTGTCTTCTGCAGCGGCCCGTCGTCTTTTTACCTGCCTTGTTTTGCCCTCTCGGCTGTCTGCGGCCCGTTGACTTTGGCTTAACCTTGACATTCTGCGATGCTTTCCCGCTTCCTTCATGTCTTCTTTTAATAATGCCGAGGTCTGTTTTCATCCCAAGCTCTTTGCTCTTGCACGTTATCATCACCATTACCCTTTTTTAAAACATAAGAGTAAATAAATAGACTAGAAAGGTACTCGTGGTTTTGTTGGTGGACTTCTGGAAAGCTTTTTAAAAGACAGAAAGTAACAAAACATTTCATTTTTCTTTACAATTCAAGAATAAATTAAACCTGTAGTTTTATACCTTTAAGAATACTGTTGAATGTTTTCATTACACTACAGGCACACAAATCTGTGTGTTAATAATTTAGAGTTTAGAATTTTGGGACGAGGTCTCTTCTCCCGTCACACCCTGCTCCATCCTCTTTTTGCTTTTCTGTGGTATGCTGCCAGGAAAAGTAAATCACTGCATGACACCAGTCTGGATCTCATTTTGGCTCAGATATGTGGAGTCTGAGGTCCACAGCTGCTTCTTGACTTGCACATTTCTTTTTCTTTAAGGAACTAAAAGAAAACAGGCTTTTCCTAGGCTCATACAGAAATGCACACTCCACATGCAGCACTCACAGCTCCCCACGTCCCTTTTGCCCTCAGCCCTTTGTGTGGGGGAAGTTATAACATGTTGCAGCCATAAGATGTTTTCAAGTACACCGTATGCAGAAAGATATAGACATAATGTGAGTTTTACATCATTATTTAGTGAGTTGTTGGCCAAAATTTCAAAGCTAAGGTGTGTTTGTAAGAGAAAGTGCTGACTGCTGGGGCTTTTGTTCCACTCAGATTCCACCAAGGCTGAGTCACCGGAAGTCATCACTGTGATCCTGCCTGACCAAAAGCACAATATTCTCCTGCTGCTAGGCTACGTCCTCTCCTCCCTTTTGCTCCTGGCCTTCATTATACTCATCATCATCCTGGTCACGCGACAACGCCAAGCCAAAGGTCTGGGCTGCAGAGTTTCAGTCTGACTCTCATTGAATTCTTGATTCTTATCTTGTTTTTTTATTCATTCTTATGTTTGTAGAGTTTTATCCCAAAGCATCAATGAGGTGAGAGCTATGAGGACACAAACGCACACTTTTAATTTCTGTTTTAGTGTTTATTACACTTACGTGATTTTGTCATGGTGGTAGGTCCAACAGAAGCTACAGCAGCTCGGACGAGTGTGAGATAGAGGTTAGGGAGGTGTGTCGACAGGAGAGGAGACTTGGTGAGTTTTAGGTTTGAACCCCTCCTCCGGTTCAAGTCGCTACTTAAGGCTCACTGAGCAAAAGTGTGTTTTGGTTCATTTTTGTTTTTTCCCTATGTTTTAGACTTTAAGAACAACCTGCTCAGAGAAAGCGCCCATGCAAGCACTCAGCCGAAACTGATTGATCTCGACAAAGGTAAGCTCATTTACGTGCATGTCCACTCTCTGTGCAGTGGCACCCCTAGAAAATTTTGGGGTGGCACACCAAATTGTTTCTTGTGGTAACTGTGGCAGGGTTTAACCTGAAGCGATGCACGCTCCTTCAAAGATCAATATGCACCCAGCACATTTTCCTCAAATCTGAGTAATAAACATTTCAGAAGACATCATTTCAAAACGGTTGTTTCAGTCATTGCTTCAAATGGATTGTTTTATCATTTTAGAACCATTTGAATTTGCCTGTTGCTGTCTTAAGGAAAACATCCACAAAAGCTATTAACGGCGTTTTTTTTAAAACTGAGCCTCAACATTTATTTAAATTCTGATTTATTTGCCCAATACTCTTAAATGTATTGTCTTTTAAATTAATGTTTTAGTTAAATTAGATGCATTTATAGTTTGTGTGAACATTAAAGAGATGCGATGCAAATTTTCATGTTTTTAAATCTTTTTCTTGAGCCAGTATGTGCTAAAATGACCTTTTACAGGGTTAATGAAAGACCAGCCAGCTGCTATCGCCCCCTGTGGTCAGAATATTCCCATGTAACTTCAGCGGGTCGGTCAGGTCTGTTGGACTTAAACAAAAATGTAGCTGACATACCCGGCACAGCTGATTTGTTAATTTAGTGATGAATCACTCATGTGGACACTAATGAAGACTGGGGAGACATTTCAGCTGTTAGATTAGGCATTAGACAACTCAAACCTTGCAAACTTCTGGCCAATCTCTAAATTACCGTTTTTGTCTAAGGTCCTTGAAAAGATTGTCTATTCACAGATTACAGCACACATGCATAGATTTTCTCTGGTTGATGTGTTCCAGTCTGGGTTTAGGCCACTTCACAGTACTGAATCAGCCCTTCTTCACGTGACCAATGACATCCTGGTGGCTTCTGACTCTGGGTCACCTGTTTTGCTCCTGCTATTAGATCTTTCTGCAGCATTTGATACCGTTGACCACGATGTTTTGCTGGATAGACTTGAGTCATGGGTAGGGCTTAGGGGTACCTCACTTCAGTGGTTCTGCTCATATCTGTCAGAGTTTTCAAGGTTCAGTTGGGTAATTGTTCCTCTACATTCCTTCCACTTCCATGGGGAGTCCCGCAGGGATCTGTGCTTGGGCATCTCCTGTTTTCAATTTACATCCTCACCCTGGGTTTCATCCTGAGGAAATATGGCCTGGGCTATCATACAGTATTTATGCTGATGATTGTCAGATCTACCTGGCTCCCTCTCTCTTCTGGACCAATGTTTGGCTGAAGTGAGGGTTTGGCTTGCCAACAATTTCCTTAAGCTGAATGATTCTATGTCTGAGGCACTCCTGATGACCCCTAACAAAACCACACACTTATCTTCTGATTTGGACACTCTCCCATATGACCTCAAGCAGTGCATTACCAACCTGGGTGTGAAACTGGATACACACTTTTCCATGGGCCCTCAGATTAACGCAGTGGTCAGATCGTGTTTTTATCAGCTGCGCAGACTAGTTCGCTTAAAACCGATCCTGAAACGAGCACACCTGGAATCCGTAATTCATGCTTTTATCATCTCCCGATTGGATTATGCAAATTCCATTTTAATTGGTTTACCTGCCTCCGCTCTTAACAGGCTTCAGGTCGTACAGAACGCGGCAGCCAGGTTTTTAACAAACACCCCTAGAAGAGACCATATCACACCTGTACTGGAGCGGCTCCACTGGCTACCCGTAAACTTCAGAGTGAAGTTTAAAATCCTGACTTTTGTTTTTAAGGCCCTGAACAGTCTGGCTCCAGATTACCTGTCTGATCTTGTGACTCGTTATGTGCCAAACCGGGCGTTGAGATCTGCTGATTGCCTGCTGCTTCGCGTTCCAACAATGAAATACAAAACACGGAGGCAGCGTGCTTTTGTCTATGCTGCTCCGACACTCTGGAATGCTCTTCCTCTTTCAGTGAGGCTGGCACCATCCCTCCTCCGGTTCAAGTCACTACTTAAGGCTCACTTTTACGACCAGGCATTTTTAAATCCCTGACTTTTATTATTTTACTATGTGTCTTTTTATTGACCGTGATTATCTGTCTTGTTGTGTATTTTATTGTTGACCATGTATTGTTTTATATTGTGTTTTTACTTTTTATTCTGTACAGCACTTTGGTCGGCTGCCATGCCGTTTTTAAATGTGCTTTATAAATAAAGTTGGTATGGTATGGTATGGTAAAAAGACAAAATGCACAGCGAGGAGATAAGTTTTGCTTTTGGTCCTACAAACGGACACTGGGGGTGCTAAAAGCATTCAAAACTGCCTAGTTTCCTTTAACATGAATTATCAAAAGGTAGAGGGGGTCTTCCCTGGGGTGGCCAGCAATTTTGCAGAGGTGGCTTGCCCCCCCCCCCCCCCCCCCCCACGACCACCTCTTGGGGCGCCACTGCCACTTTCTTATTTTTCTCTCTTAACCCTCAGCCTTTGTCTTTCAGAGATGCAGAAGTTTTCCAAGTAAGAAAAAAAAGACACAAGCAAAATATGTGTCACTGGCTGGTCCAGAGGCGGCGCCGCGATTCAACCTGAGCACATTCGTATTACCGTCAGGCTCAGGAGACGCATCGGAGGGGAAACCAGTGCTGCAACATGCTGTGCTATGAAACGTTCTGTTTTTGTGTCAATGTGTATTTTAAATAGCCAGATAGTGACTGTTGGGTTCTCAGTAAGAACCAAAACTCAAGCATCACATGAAGAATAATTATGTTTCTTTTTCAAAATTTTTTTATTAACAGATTTCCATATTATTTGGAATTAGTTTATTTTATGCTCAAACTAAAATTTTAAGCATAATTCAAGATAAGTTGCTGTTAATTTCTTACTCTCGTCAACATACAGACCTGTTTTTGGTTCCGCTAACCATTTCTATATAAACATTAAATGCAGTTTAGTGTGCAAAAGAAAAATGTGTAGGAAGAGGTGGTTTTTTGTCAGCTTTTCGAAAAAAATAAAAATCTCAAACGATCCCATCAGGCGGTAAGAGAAAAACTACAATAAAAGTTAAAAGGCTACAAATTTTGGTGCTTTATGTGTCATTGTGTGTGTGTGTGTGTGTGTGTTTTAGATACACTTGCATCTTTTACTATATTTTTGTTTACAATTAATTTCAGATAAATTACTGATTATGTGCGCCCCCTAGTGTAGAAACACTGACGTAAGCTAATGTAACAGAACCTTTCTACTTCATCAAGCAGTTTTTGACCTTTGCTTCCTCTAACATTAAATTCACATGTTGCTGCTGCAATTTATAACTAACAAATAAATATCCAACACTGGGTAATTTGTTCGGTAATGCTTCCTTTTACAGTACTCTAATTACTAAGTACTTACATGGTAATTACATAGTAAGTTGAAATGTATTGTTATTGTTTCTGAGTTCTTAAACATTATTACTATTAAACTCAGGTTCAATTCTAGTTTTTATTTTTATGAATCATTCCCAGTAAATACTGCTTTACACAATAATTGCACTTTATTCCAATTATACATGTTAATTACACAATAATACACTAACTTACTATGTAATTACCATGTAAGTACTTAGTAATTAGGGGACTGTAAAAGGAAGCGTTACCATTTGTTCTTTTGTGAATAAAGATATTAGATACATAAATCATAGAAAATCTGTAATAATATTTGTTGTTCTTACTTTTTAAGAGTCTGCACCTCCAGTTTGCATCAGGGTAATTAGATCAACCGCTTTTTGTTCCGGACTTAATAAAAAAATTAAATCCTACCCACATGCATCTTAGGTCACAGGTCATTTATTTACTTCTTTGTCACAAACCGTCCCTGAATTCAAGACAAATGGCTTTGTATACACTTCATAGAATGTCTTGTGTACATTTACTATAAAGTACACAGTACTGTAATTTATATTTCATCTAAAAATGATTAAAAAAACAACCTGGTCTGCCTCATACTGTTGGACAATACTGAAGGAAGAAGACACTGCATTCATTCTCTCTCTCTCTCACACACACACACACACACACACACACACACACACACACACACACACACACACACACACACACACACACACACACACACACACACACACACACACACACACACACACACACACACACACACACAAGCTACTGGGGTTAAGTAAAAGAACTCGAGTGGAAACTTGCTGCGTGGACACAAAACAAAATAAAACACAGTGACGACCAAGTAGAGCTCTGGGAGTTGAAAAGCATCCATTTAAGAAATTTCAGCTTTTTACCATTAATTTAAATGAAAAGTCTGGTTCATCATTCAACATAACATTACACCGTCATGTACTCTGATGACAACTCATAGGATTTTACCTGAAACAAGCAACAGCGACAAACGCTTCTGTCAGAGAAACACAGCCCATTAGGTCACACCTGTTCGTCGCTGGTGGTGCTGGTGCAGAGCACGTACTGTACGACACGTGCTCCAGGTGAGCAGGTGTTCAGGGGCAGAAAGTAACAGATCCTATTTGGTTATCGAGAACCCGGTGGCTCATAGCGTTAAACAATCTTTTTAATGTGACTTACAACCCCTTCACCGGGGTCTCTACTAACACCAAAAGGAGAGAGGAGGGATATTAACAGTTCATTGAAGTGGGAAAAAACACAGTAAAATTTCTTCTCCCTACCCTTTAAACTGAGTTTTGTCCCTGTTGCCTGTAGGACACAAGTTAAAGCAGGGGGCTCCACCTTCTCCAGGATGCTAGATACATGGCAGGTGTTGCTGAGGTTTCTGTTGAGGCTTGTTAACTGTGAACTGTGTAGTGTCCCGTTTTAGGCTCCATGTTTCTAGGTGTGAGCTATAGATCCGACAGAGTCCTGCTGAAGGGTCTCCACGGGCGAGGAGCTGTCCAAGACTGGTAGCTGAGGGGGGTGGGCCATGGCAGCCCCTGAACAACAGCTCATGCAGCCCTGTGAGACAAACGAATATGTTCAACATGTGTTTATGTGAGCAAAAAGAGGCAAAAACGTCTCCTGTGTTACCTCTGTGTCTATTTCCTGTGGGATGGTGTGTTGCTTGATCCAAGGATGCACCTGAGCCAGCTCCTCTCTCTGTTCCTGGGTGAACCAGGGCTGGAGGGGCTGAAGCACTCGCAGCTTCTCTCTGTCCTCTGCTAACACCTCGCTCTGATCCCTGTAGGTGCGACCAAGACAGGAGACGGGGAAAAAAGAGCTCATTTGCTACTGGCTAAAATATTTACCTTTTCACTGCAGTGTTCATTTTGAGCCAAGTGAGGTGACACGTTTCTACAAGCTGATAGGGATTTGATCAATGTGGGAGGAAAAAATAAAGGTTGAACTTTTGCTTCGGATCACTTTAACAGATCTGAGATCATTTGGATTCGAACAACCGAACGGCTGAAATCAAATGAAAGAAAAGGAAAATTATTCAAATATTCCAGCTCATTCAGCTAAAATCTTTCCTACAGAGACTTTTTAGGAGTAAAGTTTCACTGGATTCCTGTTCAGTTCCTGCTTCTTGTGGTAAAAGCAGCAGAGGTCAGAGTAACGAGCCCAGAAAAGATGGCTGAAGTCCCGAGCGTGTACCTGGGATGCATCTGGTACGTCATCATAACGTGGTCAGGTGTGTGCTGGATCATGCTCCACATGGAGTTCTCCCCCCGGGCGTCAAAGCTGTGCTGGTGCTCCACAGGTGCTTCCTGGCTCTTTCGAGCTTTCCTTGAAGTGTCTGATGAGTCATTGCTGGCAAAGTACTTGCTGCTGCCTTTTACCCAGAGAGAAACCTGTGTCATTCATTACATTTCATCCTAAAATTCTTACGTTTTTTCCTTAGTTGTGCGGTTTAAAAGATTTTTTCTGTATTTCCAAGTGTGTTTCCTTCCTCACCAGTGTGTGAGGTGGACGTCCCATTGGAGCCAGATCCAGATCCCAGTGAACCTCCAGACTCTCCTGATCCGGAGCCTGAAGCGTTAGAACCGGTCCCTGACCTGGCATCCTCCTGCAGCAGCAGATCGAGCAGCTCGCTGGATGTTAACTGAGCATCGTTACTGCTTGACTCGGAAGGGGCTTCGCCCTGAGGAGGAGGGGTTACAAGTTAGACATGAATCCTGTGTTATGGGTGAAAAATACGGTGCAGGTAGCTACCTTGTTTGCAAGCTGCTCATGGAGGCTTTCAGAGTGGTTGTGACCTGTGCTGCTCTGCCCCTCGCTCAGTCTGGGAAGCTCCTCCTGCAGCAAGTTGAGCTGCAAAGGAGAACTGGAGCGAGAGCTGGAGAACAAAGCTCGAGGCTCCGCTGCTTCTTCCTCTTCCCCAACAGAGCTAGCTCTCTGCGAGCAAAGAGGAAGACCGGGTGACGTGTGGGGGCCAGGCTGGGCCGGGGACTGAGGCTGAACATGGGACGCACTGCCAGGTGCAAAGCTCGTCATGATGTTGGGTGGCTGAGGTGCAACAGAGGACATGGATGGGAGGTAAACAGAGGGAAAGCCTGGAGTGAAGGTTGGATAGTTGGGCATGATGACAGCCATGACAGGTGCCATGTATGGGTTAAAGCTCTGGGCTGAAGCCATGGGGTGAGGGCTGTAGAAGTTTTGAACATTCTGCAGGGGCTCCATGTGGACTGGTGGCATGCCTGGCTGGCTCTGACCCAGCTGCATGATGTTAAAGTTGTAACTGAGATGGTCAGAAGGCTGCAGCTGCGCCGGCGTTGCTGCAGGCATCTGTTGTAGTCTGGGCAGCTGCTCCGTGCTGGACTTCCCCGTAACAGAGAAGAATGTCCCCTGGAGCGGGGATGTTTGGCAGTGGGTCTGTGCCATGTGGGGCTGCGAGGACTCAGAGGAGGGCCAGGACGAGTCAGGAACACAGTAAAGTGGGCCAGCCGGGGAGGCATAGCTATCAGAAGAACCCTGGGGTTTGGGCCGCTTGTGTCTGAGCTTTCCTCTTCGAGTGCGATTCCAACCTCCAGCACTCAGAGGACGTAGGTAGTCTCCTGCAGAGAGGACAGACGCAAACCGCTGAATGAGTCCAATTACAGGCGTCAAAAGTCATTTCCTTTACAAACATGCACACACCTGGGTGGTGGGAGTGAGCCATCGAGTCGTTTTCCAGCTGCAGATAGGAGCTGTAGGGACTCTGAAGAATACGGTGGCGAAATCGATCTATGTACTCCTGTTCTTCTTTCTGGGTGTGAGCGGACAGCACCTCCTTGGTGAGACCGACAAACCGTCTGTCCTCCGTAGCAGGGCTTGGAGCCAGACGCACGGGGGTGGCTGTAACATCAGCAGGCTCACTGCCCATCGGTGCATCTTCTGGAGCTGTGGCCTCTGGATGGGTGGGAGAAAAATGTTCAAATAGTTAAAAAATATAGTTAATGCTTTCCCCTATATAAAAAATAAACATGCAATATATTAAAAATGCACAACTTGACACATTAAAATATATTTAAATATAAACATTTCCAAAAGAGCAGCATCCATGAGCCTGATGCAAGTATGTTCATGTACCTGAGTCAGGTTGAGGCACATGGACGATGGTGCTGCTGTACGAACATTGGCTAGTGACCGAGACAACACTCATGGCCTTAGAGGACATGGTGATGTCGGTCAGAGGTGCCCCGACAACTGCAGGGCCCACTGACACCTCACTGTCCAACAGAACCACTGGAGGGTGAGGTGGAAATAGGTTAACAGTCTGAAGCTCTAACAGGTAAATTACAGATGTGTGCTTTTACCGTCTGAACTGGACCGAGCCACGTCGGTGCCTCCTGCAGGCTTCTCTTCTTCTGAGGTGGAAGAAGAGGAAGAGGAGGTGGTCAAGGAATGGGACTCATTCTTCCGCTTTAGGACTTGACCTGCGCAGCTCTCCAAGTACCTGCGACAGAAAACAGCCCCAAAATAAATAAAGGTCAGAAAAAAACAGGAAAATACCCTCTAAGGCTACGTTCACACTGCAGGCCTTGATGCTCAATTCCGATTTTTAGAGAAAATCTGATTTTTTTTGTGTGGTGTTCACACTGTGACTGAAATGCGACATGAAACTCTCTCCAGTGTGAATGCTCCGTGGCACCAAAGCGACCCGCATGCGCAGAAGACAAGAAGGCACACTGAGTGGAGCTGAAACCAGGAGCGGCGGAGTTGTGACGTAATCCTGACCCTGTGGTTAAACTGTCAGTGAAAACTTCCACACCTGTTTATTCTTCTGTGAAACGCTTCGCTCCAGCAGCACCTCCAGCTCCCGTTCTCATGCTCTCCTTTATTTTTAATTCCAAAACCTAAAACAGGAAGTTCAGACAGACTCCTGCACCCTTCCATCAGCGCTTCTCCTCAGGAACATCCACACGCGTCGCGCACCTCCACTGACTCGGTGACGTAGGAGACTGATTTACTGCGACGTGACCGTTCAGACTGCAGTCGCTTTCAGTAACATCAGATGCGTCGGAATTGGTCCTACATATTCGAGTGACACGGATCGCATTTAAAAAAAATTAGATCTGCGCGTTCAGACTGTCATAAAAAAATCAGATATGGCTCGCATGTGGGGAAAAAAGTGGACTTTGCCTGCGGCGTGAATGTAGCCTTAGATCGTGATGTTACCTCTACACACCTAACGATGTTGTCCACACAGTTTATTTGCTGGTAGGAGGGAATGTGTGTTTGTTTCCTGCTTCCTTCGCCCCCTCTGGACTCAGCGTTAGAGGCTGAGAGGGGGTGAGGCGCTGCAGAAATAAACATCATTTTAGTGCCTGTTAAATCTACTGACCAGCTTTTATATTCAGAATCTTTTGGACCACTTCACCTGTGCTGGGTTTGCCATGGGGAGCGCGTTTTTGGCAGGAGTTCAGACATCCCTGTCTACCCCAAGTCTTCGCCCGGTTCACATCTGCACAGATCTGCTGCAGGGTCATCTGCAAATCCACATGACAACACTTTCAGAGCAGTTAGAGAACGCACACAAGGCTTTGTAGTGATGCTGTAATGTCTCACCGGCTCCCGGTGCGAGTCCTCCCACAGATTCCCGTTGCTGTCGCTGGAAGAAGCGAAGCTGATGTAGTGCTCATGAGAGCCGTTACTTCCCAAACTACCGTAGCCGCTGGAGCCATTGTTGTGTACTGGCTAAACACAAACACAGCAGGAGAAGCAGGATGAAGACCACGTATGAGTGGAACAACCTTAGAAACAATCTCTATTATTAATGGTGGCGGTCGGTGAGACCGGCGGCGCCATTGCTCGGCAGCTTTGCCTCTGTCAGAGCACCCCAGGGCAGCTGTGGCTACATCGTAGCTCATCACCACCAGCATGTGAGTGTGTGAACGGGTGAATGATTGATTGTGTTGTAAAGTGCCTTGGGGGGTTCCAAGACTCTAGAAGACCTAATTCCATTTTTGGTTCTTTTTAAAACACAGATAAGGGTTTTCTTTACCTTGCTGACAGTTTTGTTTGCGGCTGCAAACATCCTCAGAGCGTCAAGGAATTAGGAGACAAACACAGCAAGAACGTACAAAAGATCTCTAGAAGACTTACTTTTCTGCTATCATTTCACAGCATCATGGAGACCAGTCTAGGCTGCACAGCACAATTAACTCCTTACTGCTGTTAAATGAGTTTGACGGTCTAAATCCCACTGTTGCTTTGTGCACAGAGCTACAGAGCTTTCTCCAAACCAAGATCCTTGATATTAGGCTTAGAGCCTCCAGCCTCAAACACACACTATCCATGTGGAACCGCCTGGCCCACCTGCCTTCTCTGACTTTGCTCCAGTTCAGCTTGCTAACTTAATGAAACTGATTAGCTCCATGAAGCCAGCTGGCTCTTTGGTACACTGCCTCGGCTAAATTGGTGCGCAACTCGGTGTCTGCACTGAGCCCGGCACTCATGAACATTTTTAACATTGGCCTCAGCACTGGAGTGTTCCCTAAGGTTTTAAAGATGTGGTTGATCAGCTGATATAGAAGAAACCTGGTCTGGATCTCTCCACGTATGAGAACTTCAACCCTATATAGAAAGTCCCGTTTATCTCGAAGGTCCTTGAGAAAATTGTTCATGGTCAGCTCTCTGCTCATATGAACAGCAACTCATTGTTGGGCGTGTTTCAGTCCGCCTTTAGACCACACCATAGCACTGAGTCTGCTTTGATTAGGGTGCTAAATGACATTCTGGTGGCATCTGACTCTGGGTCTAGGGTACTGCTGCTCCAGCTGGACCTTTCAGTGGCTTTTGATACGGTCGACCGCCATATTTTACTGAATATGCTTGGGTTTTGGGTTGGGGTGACGGGGGTGGCACATAAATGGTTCCACTCCTACCTATCAAACCGATCCATCTCTGTCCAGATTGGTGACTGTGCATCCTCCTGTCTTCCACTGCCTTGGGGGGTGCCACAAGGTTCCGTTCTCGGGCCATTGCTGTTTTCTATCTACCTTCTGCCTTTGGGCAAAATACTGAATCAGCATGGCCTGTGCTATCACATTTACGCTGATGTCAATTATATGTAGCAATGGATGAGAAAAATGCGAGCTCGTGATTGGCTGCATGTTTAGATGACATGAAGGGCTGGCTGGCATCCAACTTCTTAAATGAAAGGAAGACTGAGTCTATTGTTTTTGACCCCTGCGACCACCGTGGCTCTCACCCTGTTTGTGACCTTTTAACCCTCAACCCCAAACAGTGTGTGTCAAGTCTCAGGGTCAAGCTGGATGCTGGACTCACAATGGCCCCACAGATAAACTCCGTTGTGAGGTCTTGCTTTTATCAGCTTCACCGCCTGACTTGCCTCAGACAAATCCTGAAACTGAGGCATTTGGAGTCAGTCATCCATGCCTTAATTACCTCTCGCCTTGACTACGCAAACGCCCTCCTCGTTTGTGTTCCGGTCTCTGCCCTGAATTGGCTGCAGGTCGTCCAGAACGCTGCTGCCAGGTTCTTGACAAATACACACCGACGTAGCCATATTACCCCTGTCCTGCCACATCTTCACTGGCTCCCTGTCATTTTCAGAGTACATTTTAAGTTATTGACTTTTGTATTTAAAGCACTCAATGACCTGGCACCTCCCTATCTCTCTGACCTGCTCACTCCATATGTACCCACGCGCACGTTGAGGTTGGCTGACCTTTTGCTGCTGTGTACACCGTGGATGCGATACAAACCGCGGGGTGAACGAGCATTTGTTTATGCTGCCCCAAAGCTGTGGAACTCATTGCCCATTGGAGTTCGGCAGGCTCCTTCACTGGTGGTTTTTAAATTTAAAGTTTAAAGACCTACTTTTACGATTTGGCCTTTAGACAGTGACTCGTTTTAGTGTGTTATTGTGTCATTGTTTTAATGTGTTCTTAGTATTCATCATGTTTTATCTGCTTTTGATCGGTATTTTTATCTTCTGTTTTAGTTTCTTAGAATGGTCGCGTTTTGTTTTAGCCTGTGCAGCACTTTGGGCAGCTCCCATGCTGCATTTTAAACGTGCTATATAAATAAACCACGGTATGGTATGGTATGGTATGGTATGGTATGGTATGGTATGGTATGGTATGGTATGGTATAGAAGGTGCTACATCAAATCCAGGCCATTGACCATTTAAATACAGAGTTAAAAAAGGACACATTACAACTTTTTTCTTATAAATCCCTCTCACATGAAGCAATTTCAGCAGTTTTATTTGTGACATTTTAAGTACCTTCCAGAATGAGCCGTTTCAGGGCTCCATCACTTTAAGAGAACAGGTGCTGGCCACACCCATCCATTCTGGTCTAGACTGCTATAAGCTGAGAAGCTCCGATCTCCGGGAGGGGCTGGGACTAGAGCCGCCACTCCTCCAGCAGTAGCTCTCTCTCTTGCATGGGAGAGATGGTTCTATTTTAATCTCCTTGTTTGTGACATCACAAACGGGATCTTTTTGAAATGGGCTGGGCAATTGTTCTAAAATTTATCATTATCAAAATTGCTGACTCTTATCGAGATAATTTTTCCCATGTCAATAAATTTAAAAATGAAAAGATGTGTGTAGGCTGGCAACATTCATATCATTCATGTTAAGAAGCTGTACCACCCTGAGTCACGTAAAAATGTGACTCAATGTAAGACATGTGACAGCCCCATCTAGTGGACAACTTTTGTTTCTGCGCATTCCTGTAGTTATCGTCCATTTATCGTTATCTAGGTGAAATCCTCAATGTATCATGATATTGATTTTAGGCCATATCGCCCAGCCCTACTTTCAACACATAATTCTTTAAACCAACACGGATATAAAATAGATGGATAGATGTTTTTCATGTCTGGAGTGTTTATGGAGGCAATAGAGACCCACATAGCACCACAATAAGGTGCAAAAAAATAAGATTTGCATAATATGTCCCCTTTAAACCAATTATCCTTACACGGCTGCATCAAATTACTAAATTGTACAGGTAAATAAACATTTGTGTTTTTTTTATGAGTTGGAATAATTACCTGCAGGAAAAGTTTGTAGATCTTTGCTTGTAGATCTTTTATTTCCTCATGAGAGACTGGAACTTCAGTTCTGTTCAGAGCAGCGAGCACGTCCTCGTTCAGAGGACTCCTACAGACAACACAGCAATGGTGTTATCACTTTTCTCAGAAATAACAGGGTTGATCTTTTGAAGAGAGAGCAAGTGAATATTAAACAAGATATGGAAGTAATAATAACAACTGTACATACGTTCTGACTTTGTGCCGTCCGATGATGAAAGCCACCTTTCGGCTCCAGGGGTTAATGAAGCTGGACCAGCTGGTGTCCAGGGTGACGTAGTCTCCATTCTGACAGCGCAGACGCACCGGAGAGTGCTCGAACGGAGGCTGGCCAGCGTACTTCAACACTATGAAGACATGAAGAGAGAACATGTAAAAATGTGGACCATTTACAGTAACATTTGAACAATAACACTGTTTCCATAAAAGGTCTAGAACACTCTGTAAGATGTAAAAAGGAGGCCCTTGTCACCTTTCCGGTGCATAGACAGCATGAGGGGGAAGTCCTCTGGGTGGATGCAGGTCAGCAGTGATGTGCCAATTAGGTCCTGAGGGAGGTATCCCAGTAAAGGCACGGCCCTGTGGGGAATAATCACCAGATTAGCTAGCTGTCACGTTTTATCGAACCACAACTAAAGATTCTGCATGTTTAGAGGTGAGTGTACTCACCTGTCATCCACTTCCAGGAATATACAGCCAGGGGAGTGGGTAGTGGTGAAGATACGCTTGTCCATTGGGATCCGAGGTGCTGTGCAAGAACAGAAAATTATGGAAGATCTGGAGAATTTAAAGCCATGCTTTATAAGGTTAATCAAAAGTCACTCAGACTCCACCAACCTCTGTGGCCAGAATACGGCCGCTGCCTTTAGTTTAAGTAATATGGAACTGATGTCTGCTTCCAGCATGTTTCCTGCACGTTTTAGACCATGAACACAGCTGATTTGTGTTAGGGTTAGGGTTAGCACAAGCGCAGCACTAACCACTGTATATGCACGGATTTCTGATGTGGGTGGGAAGCCAACTTCACTCAGCTCTGCTGAGTGCTCCTCTGCCGCGGGAACGCGCAGTGTTCAGCCGCTCATTACTGCTTATTAAGGAATTAAATGATTAGAAAGATGAGCGATGAGGTTACTTTTAATGTAAGCGGGATATTAGTAAGTTTCTTATCTGTGTGCTTCCTAAAAATGCAATGATTTTGGTCAGATAAATGAAGGTAGTAACGTTTTTTAAACATGTTTAAGACAAATGTTTTAAAATCAGTGTGTCAGGATTATTTTCTAACAACCACCACTTTCCTGATTTTTAAACCAACAGCACAACAGTTTAAGCCCATCTAAATGTTTAAGAGCAGAACTGGATTATTTACATTATTGCATTTAAGTAGGTGGACTTTGCCAAAATATACATTTAAAGACACTCGTTGAAGAACGGATTACTCAAATAATAAATTAAATAATTTATTTTCTATTTAAATATTGTGTAGAATACTCATTATAGCGCCCAATCTGTTAAGGAAAGAATATCATACATTTATTTTTGTGAAAATCTGCTGAATGCTGACTTGTTGATCTGCATCAATAAATTACATACAGATCGACTAAAACCTTTTTGATTTTTAGCCGACTAAAACTAAGACTAAAATACATTTTCATCATAAAAACTAGCTCTAAAACTAAGATGCTCGCCAAAAACAACACTGGTTACCAGCTCATATAAACAAATGACTGGATAGTGTTCACTGGAGGACTTGTGTTTGTGGTGATAATGGTTGTACCCTCATATCCTTTATTTATTTATTATTTTTCTTATTTTTTTGTACCCTCATATCCAGAGATGATGCGCTCAGCCAGAGCCAGACAGCACGGCTCCTCCTCCTCCCCGCTTTCTGTTCCCTGAACCTTCAGCAGGTACGGTGTGATTCGAAAAGGGTTGTACCTCATCTCCCCGTCACGATCCTTACTGCCCCTGAAACCGTTTATTTATCACAAATACGTCTTCAGCAACAAATATTGTCTTATTTCAACTTGAGTAAGCTCTCAGTTACATTTGTGTGTCTTTTGTTAAGAATGACAGTCGAATTCAGTAAATGTGGCAATCTGACCTTATTCTGCAGAAGAAGGACTTGACCTGAGCGCTGTCGAAAAGGACTCCAGCTGTCGACACAAAGAAACATAAAAAGCTGATGAATGGCATTTTCTGCTTGCCAGTTAGATGCGCAATTGACTGGAACTTTTTTTTATTAAGAAAATAAAAGAGGATAATAAAAGAGGATAATTAGTGCAACCATTTTACACATTTCAATATTTAAGTTTGGGACCAGGAGTGCATGAATACAAAAAGGGTTAAATCTCAAAATCACACAAATATTTAACTATATTTGGTGAGGACTGGAGCTAAGGAAGAATTAGTGTAAAATAATTATTGACTTTTGAAATATATATAATTTTTATTATACAATTAGTTAAAATGCATTTTTCTGTGCAGGGGGAGCTGAATGTGAGTTTTTCTGAATATTTGACACTACAGAAAAAATACAGAGTAAACAAAAAATAGTTTAATGCTCATCTGTGACTCTCTAGAGCCCTCACAATTCGCCCCCAAAAGAAGTCCTCTGAACATCACACACAAAAATTATTTTGCTTTCAATAATGTTGATTGGGGGGGGGGGGGGGGGTTAAATCTCAAACACACATTTTTTACTATGATTTGTCAGAACTGAAGCTATAGATGGGATCTGTATAAGAAAAAGTTGACATTTGAAACCTCATATAATTTTTATTAAACCTTTCACCAAAATGCATTTTTTTTGTGCGAGGGTCCCCAGTGTAGCTTGTTTTTAAGGAACCTCCAAGGTTTAAACAAACATTTATTAGAAATAAAAGTATTTTTGGCCAAATGCAAAATTCTTGAATCTAAAATGTTATTGAACATAAAATCTGAATGTTTAACATAACCAGGGATCCAGTGTTTTTAGGGAACTGTCAGCTTCATGACATATTTCTGTTCTACTTTTCAGTAGCTGCAACAACAAACAGCCCAGATAAAAAGAAAAGCTTTACGTCTTCTCTGATTGTAAATGTGACACTTAAGAAGTGACCACAAGCTCTTAATAGGATTTAAGTCACGTGAGGAAGGGGTCGGGGTTATTACTCAGTTGTTATTGCTGGCTTTTTACGTGCAGCACACTTCTATCTGTGCCACATGTGCTCCTTACAGAAACCGATGTAGCAGTTAGCAGCTGGAAGCCACTGGAACTACAGCAGCTTATTCCAGTCGAACCCCTCCGAAGGTCTAACCCATCTTCTACATCCACAACCTTTCTCAACTCGTCTGTTCATTTTCTTTAGGTTTAACTGAAAACGAAAAAACAATTCAGCTAGCTGCAAGTTTACAATCTGCTGAAAACACACCTGAGTGCGAGTTGCTCCACGGTGGTAAGTGAGGCTGCGCCGTGTGCGAGTAGAAGACGTTGACATCCTGGTGGAAGAGGAGCTCGACGAACTTTGCAGACTCCAGATATTTCCTCTTGCAGCACAGCAAGCTGGGAGCCTGCTCCGACGCGTACAGCACCCGGCCGCTCGACAGGGAGAAGACCATCACGAAGGAATCCTACACACAGACACGGACAGACGTGTGTGGAAGAATCCACATGCAGGCATGCCAAGCCAAAGAGAAACACACACACACACACACACACACACAAAGGACAGAGTCAGTCATTTCAGTTATGCATCTGTAAGAAAGTGTGTGTGTGTGCATGCACGCATACCGTATTTTTCAGGTTGTGCTCAGACGTGACTCTCTCCAGCTCTTTCAGAGTGCACACAGTAGCATCTTTCCTCTGGTCCTGCCCGTTTTGCATCAGCAGTTTGTAGTATTCACTGTTGGCTGCAGATTGCAACAAAAACAAATTAGGAGAGCTTACATCTTCAGAGGAAAGCCAAGTGACCATTACCCTAGTTACCTTGGACCTGCTTGACACAGTTGAGAGCATAATTCAAGGCGTCCACCGTGCTGGCTTTGTTGCGGCTCCGTCTATCCGACGGAAGTCTCCTTTTCATCTCAGCCACTGTGTCCATCATGTCTCTGCGGGCCTGGCCTCTCCCTCCACCTGCATGCTCCCTGATAAACAGAAAAAATACCTTTACAATAAAGTTCTTTAGACCAGTGTGTGAAACAACATATTTAGAGGAGATATAGAATGACAAGTTGCACAGAACTACGATAAAATCTAAACTGTTGAAACCAATTTCAAATGGAAGTCTAGTAAAAAATGTTTTTCGTGCTAATTTGTTAGCCGCTGGAATGCTTTTATACAAATAATTCTGTTCTGTGACCTAAAGGATGGTTTCTGTAGAGATGAATCTGGCACCGTTTTGAAGAAAAGTCATCATTTCTGTCTGTAAATGTTTGATTATGACCAAAAATGAGGAAATATAAGATCTGCGCTGTTGTCTTAACTGGAAAAATCAAAGCAACAGGTCAGAGCTTTTTAAAATAAAGTAGTAAAACTGAAATAAATCCATTTAAAATAATGAAAACCTGGATTTTACTATCCCAACTCTGATGTAATTTACTCATGCTAATGTTTCTATCGAGCTATTAAACAATAATTTGAGAAAAATGCCTGACAAACATCTACAGGGAACCAAAGAACGAGCTGGAAGTACCTAGAGAGATGAAACACGAACCGTTTCTACTTAGTTTAATAATAAACACACGCTTTTGGGAATATTACCCAGGATATTTTGGATTCTATTAATTAAGAAGCAGATGTGTTTTGAAAACCTAAATAAAAACTTGAAGCCGTGTGAATTTAAAACATTAAAGTCCGTACCTTTTGATAAACGATGAGGTGGATCCTGTGGCACTCTCAGGGCTTTGATTGGACGAGGATGAAAGATCATGTGAAACATTAGTCATCTCCTCATCTTCCTGTCCTCCTTCTCTCAGGGCTCCTCTCTCTCCTCCCCCGAGGTGTTCGATCTGTGCCCGTCCACCCAGATCCCCAGAAGGCCCCATCTGTCCCCCTCCACCTGCTGCTGTGGACAATGGTAAAGCAGGCTCCTCCCCATCCGGACCGCTGTCGCCTCTCGACATCGTTGGACTCCGGTCACACATTAGTAGCATTTTGCAGGGACAAACTTGTAAGTAAGAGTCTTCATATGTTCAACAAGAGGAACGGGTTCCATGTGGTGACGGGAAACAAACTCAGTTAGCATGAAACCCCGGATGCAACCTTTCGTCTTCAGCTCTGGAAGATAGAAAATGATTCCAACTTAATTTCAAAGAACTAAAATCAGCTGTGACCAAAAATGTCTTAGGACATTTGTAATATTACCCACTGTTAACACAACATTGTTGTTTCATGTATTTGTGTGTTTGTCTTTTAGAACATTTTTCTCAGAAACTGCTGGATGTTTTTGACGAGAAGCTCAGAAAGTCATCGCTGGATGCAGCTAAGCACCAGTGGCAAACAAAAGCTGTTAAAATCCTCTCAATTTAACAAACATTGAGCTAAAATTTCATATTGAAAGCCAAGTCATTCACAGCAAGTGTTACCACAGTTTCTGAAAGTCAACCTATATATGTGAATATATAGTCAGGTCATGACCCATAGACAGATCTCAGTTGTGGGTGAGGGATCTACTGTTGTCTTTCAAACAGTCTCCGCATTGGACAACAAGCAACATGGAGTACCCACCGCTACAGATGTCAGTCAACAGGGCAGTTTACCATACACTGTTAAAGGAGACACAAATACATTGTTTTTCTAAATAAAAGACTTAAGTATCTCCTCCTGACTCAAAGAAAAACAGATGATGCCAAAGCCGTTTCAAATGAGCCGCTGCAATCTTAGTTTTGCAAAGTTGCAGTAAAACCCCGGCCACCAAACCGATAGAGCGCTGTTTTGAGCCACAATCTTCTATTTTAGTTAGAGCAAATTTAAACTAATTCACCGTTACTGATGTGTCGGTGCCACACCCTCGCCGTGTGTGTGCAAGTGTGGGTAGTGTGTACTTGTATCTATGGGGCTCAGCACTGCCCCTATCAGTGAGGCAGGGGAAATAAAACATGAATTTTGGTGACATAAAGCGAAACATCTGTGAGCATGCACCAACTTCCTGTTACAGTCGCCCCGGTTTCACACTGAAAGCATCAGCGGCGTGGAACGTTTTCGCAGTTAACATAGGGCTAGACAGAAAATCACACACGGTTTCAGTGTAAAATCACTGATAAATTTCAAAATAAAAGCACTGCAGCAGTGCAATTTCATATGTATGAAGCTTAGGTATGACCCAACTGCTTATTTACTCAGCATCGTTCCAGAAGTGCAGCGGTGTGTTTTTCATGGCTTTAATCCTGGCAGTGGAAAAGAACAGCATCATGTATGACATCAAATAGCAACATCAAACGTAATTTCCTTCTTTTTGGACCTGAAGTCTGAGTCCAGCGAAGAGCACAGCGAGGAAGCCGTGCCGCTGCCAAGACATACCCGGTGTGAAAAGGACCTCTTTGAAGTTCATGAGGAAACTGTTCCGCTGCTGTTTCGCGCCACTGATGCTTCCAGTGTGAAACCGGCATCGGTGTGTGCGGCGCTGCACCGTGAGAACGGAGGCAACTCTCATCTCTGCCTCTGGTCTGATGGCGCAGCGCCATAGAAGTTTATTTATTTACTTAGCATTTTTCGCAGATGGAAATCACAGTGCTTCACTAACAAAAACAAACAAAACTGATACAATGAATAACAGAATTTCATGAAACAGTGAAACAATAAGAATAATGCATTGGAAAACAAATGATTAAGGAAACAGGGAATACTATAAAACTGAAAGTACAAGGTCATCATGTGGGAAAGGCTGTAGGGAAAAACCAGAACAATAAAATTAGTACAATGAACTTCAAAATTTTAAAGTAGCAGGGAATTACTAAAACTAGGAGGCAGTGCCCCCCCCCCCCCGCCTTCTCTGCTTAATAAAGCCCTACAATGGAAAGACCGACCCACCCACTCAGCCAGGACATAAATATTAACCTTACCCAACGTTTAAATTTTCTAACGTTAAAGTCATTCGAGCACAAAAAATGCACTTACAAAGCTTCCCATAGAAATATTATATAATATTTAATAAGTCCCAATTTTTTTTACATGAATTTCATCCTTGGCTTCAGCCCTAACAAAATTTAATAAAATATGTGTGTGTTTCTCATATTTAACCCCTTTATTGCCAGGTTTATGAGCAAAACCAGAAGTTTGAAAACTGTACAAAAAATGAAAAAAATCAAATCATTTTTGTGTGTTATGTCCAGATGACCTTTTTTGTGGGTAAGTTGTCACAGCCTTGGAGTGTCACAAATAGGCATAAAAATATTTTTTGCTCACTTTGTAATTTTTGTGTTATGTCATATTTTCTAAACTACTCACGTTAAAGTCATTTGAGCACAAAAAAATGCACTTACAAAGCTTCCTATAGAAATATTATGTAATATTTCATAAGTCCCAATTTTTTTACATGAATTTCATCACTACTTCAGCCCTAACAAAATATAATAAAATATGTGTGTGTTTCTCAGATTTAACCCCTTCATTGCCAGGTTTATTAGCAAAACCAGAAGTTTGAAAACTGTACCAAAAATGAAAAAATCAAATCATTTTTTGTGTGTTATGTCCAGATGACCTTTTTTGTGGGTAAGTTGTCACAGCCTTGGGGTGTCACAAATAGGCATAAAAATATTTTTTGCTCACTTTGTAGTTTTTGTGTGATGTCATAGTTTCTAAACTACTCACGTTAGTCATTTGAGCACAAAAAATGCACTTACAAAGATAGCCAGTTGAATACTTTATTAAAGCACACAAACAAAGAAAAAGTGTGTGTGTGCGTGTGTGTGTGTGTGTGTTTGAGAAAGAGAGAGAGAGAGAGAAACACAGAGGGGGGTGAGCTAACAACTGCAGGTTGAGCACACAACTGTTGAGTGCTCCTTGCACACAGCCTGTCCACATGTTTTGCAAAAGCGTGCATGCACGCTCCTCTTCCCTCTGCAAAGGTGGCATTTTTTCTTTATTGTCTGCTCCTGGGCTGGAGCTGGCTCCGCTTGCTGCTGCACCTGCAACAATGCTGCAACGCTGCTGGACCGCGGCAAGCGAGTGCGCCTCGCCTGGGCTGGTCTGAAGTCTGGTCTCACCATGGAGCTCCCAAGCTCCTGCAAGAACAGCCTTGGGCAGATGCTCCTCTTCTGCTGGTTCCAGGCCGGTTCCAGACAGCCACAGGACCAGGGCATTGTAGGCGCTCACATCTAACATGTTGCAGAAGAGCGACATGGGCCAACGTCTGGTCTTGCGGCGGCAGCTGTATGTTGCAACGAGCTGGAATAAAAATAAATGAATAAATAAATTACATATGCAATTAGGTTGGCGAATTATAATAAAATAAAATAAATAAATTACCTTGTCCAAGTTGTCAACTGCCCCTTTGCAGCAGTTGTAATCGATGATTACGGTCGGCTTCTGCTGCGGTCCCTCCTGACTGACTCCCCCTCATCTTCAAGCTGCTGAAACACTTCGAGGGCTTCATTCACGTTGAAACTTCTTCTCATGGTTGCGGTTTAAAGAAATGAATCCTGATCTGAGTCTCATATATGTACTTTTAGTCAGTTGGTGCACGTGTGTAAACTGGCCCTAACTGAATGTAAACAAAACTTGGCTCTGCAGGAATTTGTTTTGCAAAACAAATGTACGCCTTAGAAGTTTTTCAGCCTTCATCTTAGCTTTCATCCATGCTTTGTACTTATTGAAATAACATTTTGCAAAAGTAAAATTGTGAGTATCTGAAATTTAGCAGAAAATCGTTTGATTTTTGATATATAGCATGCCTTTGATGAATATTCATGAAGTCAACAGAGTGTGAGAACCTGTGCCCCCCCCCCACATTCCCATGGCCCACACCTGCTCAACCACTCCAGATAATGATCACAGATCTGTCTTTTGAAGATCTGTAAAGTGCTTTGATACCTACATACACGCATGCCTGCACAATCACACACAAAGGGACACATGTCAAAATGCTATTTTGCAGAATGAGCTAATTTTGTACATTCAGTAAGGCTTATTTTTTGAAAGAACACTGAAAAAGCACAATTACCAAAAATTCAGAACACACACATGCAAACTATTGTATGGCATCTCTAAATAACACACAAACCATTTTTTTTGCAAAACATGTATTATAATGGGCAGTCAGAGGTAAAGAAATACAGCTAAATCATTCAGTTTAAATGCTGGGTCAGCCATTGCCCTGCTATATATGGAGAAAGTACACCATGTAGTGAAAAACGGTAAACACTGCTTCTTACATTTGTGATGAGACTGTAAACATGGGCACAATCATAATTTTTTTTTAATTATGCCAGTATTTATGCAAATTAAAAAAATATGATTTACATGAAAGTCAATGGCACAAAAATGCTTCATTGTGCTTAACTGTACAAAATGATTTCCACGTTTTAATAAAGTAGGTTGAATATTTTTTCAAACTTTTTTTTGTAATTCCTTCCAAAATACACATCCTCCATAAAAATTAGATAAATTGCATTAACATAGCCAAAGTTATCACAAAAATACACGTGTCAGCACAAAAAAATGCTCAATGTGAGGTAAGGGTTAAAGCTGAATTTATGTTATTATGTACAGTACACACACCATACACATTTACACTTCTGAGATGATTACAATCACTGTCACACGACTAAACTAATACACATCACCCCCTCACCCTCTAAAAATACTGGTTGTTATTATCGGTCCAGTTTTACTTATCTGACCGATATGTTAAAAAAATGACTAACATTGGCCGATAATGATGCAGATTATATTGTGCATCCTTAATGGCTACAAAATTTACAATGTTTCCAACCACATTTTACAGCATTTTAGATGTATAACAAAGCTGTACAACACAACTAAAATTGTTGATTTTATTTGATTGAGTCCTCTATAATATTTTTGTCAGTTTAGTGTAAAACAAGTGGTATACAGCAAATGACTACAATCATGTGAAGACTACTCTTTCTGCTGGTATGAAACCATGCTGAGTTGTCATATACAGTAAAACACTCAACACTCCTGAGTTTATTGAATGAAACTCTTTCTGACCCTTCAACAGCCACAACACCAACAAGCAAGACTGAGGCCCCTCCCATAATAAACCCACTAACCCTAAAAACCTCACTAACCAGTCTGCAGGTTAACATCTCTCAAAAAGCCACAAAATCAAACACCATCATTTGGTTTGATTACATTCAGTTTAGACTTACATGGCGGCTCTACCTCTACAATGACGAAAACCATGCCAGATCACTACGTAAACAAAATAAATCAATAAGAACACAGCTGTGAGTCCATAAGTGATTAAATATCACAGTTTATAACATGAATAATACCTGTCTGCACTTTCAGTGTGTCACACGTCTGATGACAACAATATCACTCGCTTGCTATCTAGTTGCAGACATTCTTGCAACATCTGCAGCCGTGTCAGGTTTAATGGATTAGTAACCATGAGCGTTTAAGAAACTCACAACGACATATCAGGACTGTGGGAGATAATACATTGATTCAATTTCATTTGTTTACATTTGTTTTCTGTGGCTAATGCCTTAGGGTAAGGTGCTTAGCTAGCTTATCTAGATAGCTAACTCACTAATAACTCCAATTTATTATGTTCTGATGAGCTATTTACCTTTGTTGATACACGCTGGTCTTAAGTATAATATCCAGATCTTGAGGCTTCTCAAAAGTGGTTGTACTGCAATTATTAAACGATTTTTCTTGATTATTTCCCAGTTACGCGTCTAAAACGTCACCGATTCACAAGCGCTTGACACACATGTGCAACGTGATTCCGGCATGGGGTAGCCACGCCCAGTTTAACCTTATTGGACAAACAAAATTAGCATATTTGTCTTGATTGGACAGACACAGAGAAAGTAGGCGTGTCCGTAACCGCAGCCTGTCAAGGGCTTGCGGTCGGTTCACGTGTATCCCCATGTTATACAAGAGGAGCAACAAGCGAGAGCTGGAGCTTGAGGCACCTCCATCCACGCCTCCTCACCTGAATGAAGGGACAGAGATGCTGCTGCACGCTCAGCTTTATGCAGTAAGAACTCCCCGATAAACTTGCACGGCTTTAGTTTTCATTGAATGCATTTTCTTTCTAAAGTACAAATTTGGAAGCACACCAGGCTTCTCATATCTGATCAGTTTATTTTGTTACACCAACTTCAGGAAAGCCTACATTGCAAAGAGAGAACACATGACACTCCCCCCAGGTCTTATGTATTGTTTCTCTTTTTGTTTCCAACCAAAACTGTAAAAAGCACCAATTCCGCTAAGGTGAATGTTTTCAGACTGTGGAACTACAACCCAATACCAAAAGGCCTACACATAAGAAACTAATAGGACATCTTGTGAGCTTTCAGAACCTGAAACAAAAATATATTCAGCTGAGAAAAGTACAGAGAATCCATTAATATAAATTTAATCAATTTTATTTAAGGAAAATTTTTGGGGACCAAAGAGTACACATGCACTTTATTTCCCACATACATTTCTAGAAGGTAGGAATAACGATTAAAATGAAAAGGCCACATCTTATTTTGCATAAACAAACAAAAATGGAAAGTTGATATAGCCCACTAATTGCAATCTGTACATGCACTTTAATGGCCTAGCTCAAGACTGTCTAAAAATCACCATATATTAGTTAGCATTTAGTTTTATGTAAATATGGAAGCACTGCAAAATCTAGTAACAAATGGCTGTTTGAAAATTACAAAAACAAAATTTCTAGTCCAGTGTTGTTTTAGCACATATTACAATGTCAACAGCCCCAAACTCTGCACACTCACTTCTTTTATTCAGCAGTAGCGAGATGAGCACCACAAAATACTAATCACCCCAGCCAAATAACAAATAATTTCATTTTTACAGGATGCAAATAAAGCAATTTTATACAGAAACTGAGATCTTTTATGATTCAAATGGAGTCATTGCTAGTGTGAATGAACAGAGGAGTTTATTAGAGGTGATGTTAAGCTGGCAGAAGGGGCAGATTATATGAACACTGAGAATTCAGATGGCTCAACTCTCACTAGTCTGTAAAGGTATGGCTGTATTTGAAGTCCTCCAGTGGAGAAACTTTACATTGTCGAAGACTACATTATCTTAAACTGTTCTGCTTCAGCATTACACAAAAAACCTTTCAGACATTCTTGAGAATAAGACATCATTTTAGCTTTTTTTATTCATATTATTTTGACATTTTGAGGCTGTTTGATCTTGGCACTTTTCTAAAACATGTCACTCTAGCTTTGCAGCAAGAGGGAGCAACAACATCAGGAGGACAATAAATACAGATGTGTGTGTGATTTGGCAGTCCAAATGTGAAATGCCTCTTTTCATTTTTGTACTCTACAAGTGAGTGAATGAGCACCTGGTGCAAAAGTGCAGTAAGGTATTGAACCCTACATCTTTACCAGGCAACTGAAATAGTTTGCAAAGCACGCAGGCTTTAAAATGAGAGGAAATATCAAAATAGAAGTGTAAACTCTGAAAAGCAACAAAAGCCCACTGTGTGAAACATAGGGCCATATTTAACAGAACATCTTCAAAGGCACAGTTATGTGCCTGGCACACAGTATTAGTGATTATTAATATATAATCATCTGTAAAAGTTAACAATACTATATACTTCTTGTCTTAAGGATGGAATGTGTGTGTGTGTGTGTGTGTGTGTGTTATTGTACAACACAGATTATTTAAAGGATTTATTACATATGTATCCAAGTGTTCTTTGGCATATAGGGGCATGTATTTGTTTTGTGATGCATTAATGCTGGTAAAGAATAAGCATGGCAACCCTTTAGTCAGACCCAACAAGAAAACAAAACAAGCACGCACGCACACACACACACACACACCATGATGAGGAATAAAGACACTGGAGAGGTGAATTTTGTGTTTATCTGATTCCTTCCTCTGAGACTTGAAGTATGCACATTGCCCCACTCGTCTTCATTTTACCTCCACTCCTCTTCATCCCGTTGCTGGTTTATGATGAGCAGGCCCAGACTGTGAAGGAAGTATAATCTATTTAGCAAATAGTTCCACCGAGCAAAACAAAGTTTAAGACATTGATTAGTGTTTAAAATGCCATACTAAGTTTTTCCTCAGAGGAGCACGAATATTCTTCCCAATAAGGTCAAACTGAAGTGTGTTTAAGTTATTTAGTGTTGATGACAGGGGCGTCCTGATCAGGTTTATTTGCCCTCGAGTCCGAGTCATTTGATTTTGAGAATTTGCCGATACCGAGTCCTGATCCGATACTTTAGATACATTAAAAAAAAAAGAATAAAGAAAGCAAACAAACAAATCCAGAATGTTACTTATTCTTTTACTTAATTTTATTTTAACATCACACTTCTGTGCGATAGCTTGAACAATCATGTAATAAATAACATCAATTCTTCACTTTTAGACTTTAGTGCAAATATAAAAAAGTCTAATATAAAAAAAAATAGCACCTCAACTTAAAATACCTGGCAGGGTTTATTTAGACTTGGCCCCCAAAATACCTTGATACGGCCCTGGGCGTGGGACTGAGTGAATTGTATCAAATAAACAAATAAGGGCTGGGATGACACTAGAACTGATATAACAAACACTCCAAATAACACTGCTGATAATACTTAAACACCTGTGTCGATACTTACTAATAATGGCGATGACAATGATGACTATAACAGCTATCAAGATGGCCCACATCTGAAAGAGGTAACGGTAGATAAGTTAGAGATCCAATGACACAGAACTAGAATGAATTTGAGTAAAAGTGACAAATTCTTTTAAAGCGGTGAAGACAAATAATTACATTTAGTTAGGGAGACATTGCTAGAGGAACTGGTCTAGATAAGATCAGGTAAAGTGATCCTCATGAGTTTGTACAGTTGTGCAGAATTTTGAACAAGACTGCTAAATACTTGTGGGGCGACGGTGGCACAGGAGTTAAGTGCTCGCCTCGCAAACGGAAGGTTGCAGGTTTCAGCCCTGCTCAGTCTGTCGCTGTGTCCTTGGGCAAGACACTTAACCCACGTTGCCTGCTGGTGGTGGTCAGAGGGACCGGTGGCGCCAGTGCTCGGCAGCCTCGCCTCCAGGGTCCGAAATTAAATGTTTTACTCACTGGCCAAGTTGGCCGGTAGATGATGAAAATCTACCGGCCAAGCATATTTTTTACCGGCCAAAATTCTAAATGATTTAGATCCACCTAAAGCATGTTATTCTATATTATGTTGATTCCAAACAGTGACAAAATAATTAAAACATCAATTAATAAGGAAAACAACTCTTTTGTCATTTTTACTATTTATTTATTTATTTTTAGAGATGTTTTTATGAACTCTTTCATTGAAATCTAGTCAGACTCCATGTTTTATCTGTCCATGAAGTCTGGCCTCCTGCTTCTGACACTGTCTTTGTGCCAAAGCATTACAGCCTCATTTGGGTCCTAGTCCTTGATCTCTGGAGAACACAGCTGCACCATGAGAATATCTGAAAGTGTGGCAGGGCTAGGGTTGTCACGGTAACCGGTGTAGCGGTAAACCCCGGTAAAAAAGTTGACAATAAATAATAACAGTCTTGTTTAAATATATATATATATATATATATATATATATATATATATATATATATATATATATATATATATATATATAATCTCGGTGGATTACCGTGGCTGCGGTGTAGGTGTGGTGACCCTTACCAGCCACCATATCATCTGCTGGAAGTTGCCGGCGGCACATGCGCACTTTGCTGTTTACGACCAAAACTTTCTTTAAGCTAAAGCTGAAATAATGGCAGGAGGAGACGGCAGCACTTGGGACATTTATTATCCCTCAAAGAAGACAAAGTCGGAAGTATGGGCATTTTTTTTTATATTTGAAGAATGCCGAGGGCCAGTTGTCTGTGAAAGGCAGCAACACTACGTGGCCATCATAATGCAACCATTGTCTCACGACTCCGCCTTCTCCAGTTCGCCACTTTTCACAAAATCTTCTGGTTGCCACTGGTCCTGGCTGTTTTTCTTCCAGTTCGACGAGTTTTCTTTTGGAAGGCTGGCTGACTCCAGTTAAAAACTGCCACATTTCACCGCTAGTTTTAACACGAAGCTAACGGCTAACTTGATAAACTGATTCAATGGGATAGGTGGAAATGACGTTGGATGCGGCGTTCACGTTTCGCGTACGTTTGTGTAAGTTGCATGCAGGCGGGAGGAGTATCAGAAATCCGTGGAAGATGACTGATAAACATAACTAATTTGGTGCAAACATTTACTCGCCAGGTGGCAGGTAGAGCTCAAAAATTTACTCGCCAAATGGAGCAATTTACTCGCATTTGGCGAGTGGCGAGTGTTAATTTCGCACCCTGCTCGCATCCATCAGTGCGCCCCAGGGCAGCTGTGGCTACATCGTAGCTCATCCCCACCGGTGTGTGAATGTGTGTGTGAATGGGTGAATGACTGATCGTGTTGTAAAGCGCCTTGGGGGGTTCCAGGACTCTAGAAGGCGCTATATCAAATACAGTCCATTTTACCTTGCAGTTCTTCCACCAGTACTTTCTTTTCAGTTTAGCAGCACTGGTCTCAAACTGGGAGGCCCCGGCCTGCAGAGCATCTGCTCTGTCATCCAGGTCGGACAGCTTCTGATCCCGTTCCAGCACTTTGTCGACATTAACGCGCATAATATCCACTACCTGTTCAAACGAAACAACAGTTAATGCTTCTGCAGAGACAAGCTTCAGGAAATAAGCAAGTGTAGCGTTACCCAACCCCAACATACACATCCTGAAAACATGAATCACATACAGACTTTATTTCACTAACAGAATTCACAATGGGGCAGGTAAACGTGTGTGTATCCACAGTGTCACTGGGTAGACACGCCCATATGTTCCACTGATCCACAAACCTCACTACTGCCCCTCCCCTCTGAGTAGTGGAGGAGTGTGTAAGCCCATACAGGCCTTACATAACCACTGAGACGGCGATTACATAACCATCTGACAACCAATTGGAGAGTGTGTGACACGCTTAGGTTAAAGTTCTGTAGAGGAGGGGTGGACCTCAAGGGGAAAGCCAAAGAGAGAAAGACGGGAAACTGGGATTATGGGTAGAGACTTGGCAGTGTTTTTAACCAATGTCCTCATCGACACAGTTATGAATCTTTAAACTGAAGAGGAGAACTGTGGTGGCGTCGCCATGTGTTATGTAAGTTTCAGCACCAGACAGAAGCGAGGGGTGTGTGTACGAGCTGGTTGATAATGATATCAATAAAAATGCCTTCAGAGTGTTAAAGAAGCAAATAAGCCACATCTAGAAAGCAGAGTTAAAACATAATTTAAAAGTAGCATTTCCACAAAAGTACTAATATATTTTTCTGGTAATAAATCCTCAAGTTAGGATTTTTTTAATTCAAGCTAAACTTTAACTTACTTCATCCACCTGGGCCTGAGTTTGCTGCAGGCGCTTGTTGCTTCCTTCTGGGCCGACGTTTGACCTGATGAAGTGAGAAACATGATATTTCCCATAAATACACCAAATAACATTAAGCTGTGAGCAACATTTTTATTATTAATTGGCTACTTTTTAGAGTGGATCCGTTTCACCCTCACTAAAGCACCCTGGTATGAGCTAAACTGGAAACACACAATGGCAACCGTGATAACTACTGTATGATTTTCTTGTGTTTCTTTGAAACGTTTAAAGTATGGTTAGCAGCTTTGAAACTAGAAAACAAATAAACAGATTATTTTGTAATTTATTAAAATTGATCACTATTACAGGACAGAGACCTGGGTCTCTTTGGTGTGTGTCTTTCCTGTGTGTCTCTGTGTGTGTGGGCACTAATTTTTACTTGAATCTTGTAACGTGTGGAAATTGACAAATTGTGGGGACATTTACCGTGTCCCCAATAGTGCAAAGGCCCTACATTCTTTTTTTAGGGGTTTGTTGTGAAATAACGTTTAATCAGGTTAGAAGTAGACCAGAAATGAACGGAAGTCAATGAAGGTACCCACAAGTATAGAGAGACACAATTTTTTATGTGTGTGTGTGTGTGTGTGTGTGTAAAGTGGCAATTTCTGATGTCTCAATTTTACAGCAGATTTTCGGCAAATAAAACTTGATTACTTTTTACCATTCATTGGTTCAATAACAAAATATGCTATTTTTAAACTAAATTAGATGAATTGGAATTTGCACAAATATATTTGCTGTGCAGCTCTGACAGAACCCTGCCCTCCTTTCCCAATGATTGGACAGGAATTCGAGAAACGTGATTGGTAGCTAAGACTCGTGCTCTCATTGGTTCCACCCAAGTTCCTCCCACTGACGCTAGAATCGAGAAAAAAAGATCTGTAACTGTAGATTTGAGGTTTATACCTGTAGAATGAAATGTGTGTTTTGAGAGTTTTGATTTCAAACTTGTACCTTGATTTTTTCAATTTGGAAGTCTGCTAGTTACAAAACGAAAGTTTCATGTTTCTGAATGAATGTTTGATGTTACAAAATGAGTAGTAAATGTACAAAATAAAAGTTTGATTTTACAAAATACATGTACAAAATACAATGTTCCTGTTTCAAAACAAGAAATACTAGTACAAATTGAGAATTACAAGTTAGAAAACTAAAGTTACAAGTTACGAATCCAAAGTTACATGTGATGAAACATGTTCGAAGTTACAAAACTTGGTACAAGTTACGCTGAATATTGTCCCAATCCTAGCTCCATATAGGGACGACAGTCCTCCTGAGAACAGGTGTTCTGACTATCTGTGCTTCCTCGTCGAATGTTCCTACTGCAGCGTGTTACGATAGTTTCGCTCTTGTTTACAGTATAGTAACACACTTATTAAGCATGGTTCATTTTAAATAGGTGATAGAACTCAAAAATACAGAACTGTAGTATAATTATTAGCAAAAATAAACAGTGTTTGTCGTGATTTATTTTTTAAAAAGACAGTGTTTGTCATGATTCTGTGAATGACGTAAACAACGGGAGAAATTTGTTTTTTACATTATAATAACAGTATTTTACAAGCCATTTACAAGCTAATTGTCAGGTGAACATACAACAAGCAGTAATATAACAATTTACAGAGGTAGCGTGTCTCTTCAGGTCAACAGCGTGTAACGTAGTAATTGGTCTGCACAAACGCATTTTCCCAAAGTAGCACATACCAACGAGTAGCACGGATAGTCAGAAAGTCAGAAAGCCGGTAGCCTGGATTTTACATAGCTGAAGCAATGATGGAGTAACTGGATCTCTTCTACGTTTTGCAGGTTAATGAAGAACGATCGCTGTGACACCGTTTATCTTTGGAGATTACCAGATGCTCTGTTTATTCTGACTAACACCGTAAACAGAAGCACAAATGAAAAACATAAGCGGCTGCCTACTCAAATTACACAACACATTTTGTGTAATTATTATAACAAAGCATATTCATGTCTGGACATGTGGGGCAGATATTTTACTTTTTTATTCTGCCCTTTTTACAAGCCACACTGTGCCAGCAAATCAGCATAATATTACTACAATGGTGTGTCTTATAAACACACCAAGCTGGCATGGCGAAGCGAACATTTTGCAGTATTCATTGCACCTAAATACTGCGGTAAATGTCTGTCTCTAATAAACTGCGATTGTGCCGTGGTGAAAAAGAGGGAGGTGTCATGGGGAGTTACTGCCGAGTTCCGGCCAGCAATTATATTAAAAAATGAAAGTAAAAACGGGCCGTAAGTTTCGCTTTTGTAAACAGAATCAGCTGAGATAATAATCTGGAGCAAATGCAGCGCTCATGAAGCTGGATGTCAGATCACCAGATGCGGCATGGGGACTTTGGAGGACAGACACCTTTAGAAGCGGCTTGTTAAAAAAACAAAGAGCACGGCTTCGATCGTAATAAAAAGCAAATTATGATCAAGATACACTTAAGTCCACGGCAGTGAAGGGACCACCCCCATACCCCCTTTATGCCGCCATTACGTAATATTTTGTGAAAAGGATACAATTGCGCAACATTACCGCCATGGTCCGACCACTGATAAATGACCTAAGGCTCCCTGATGCCAGCTCAGCTTTGTGGCAAATTAACAGCATTGTTTTGTAAAACGGCTTTTGTCTGCTACCATGTGGGTGGTTTATCCATTAGAATTGGTCATTAATGACTGCCTTCAGCTGGAAACCTGTAAAATTTAACTATACTGTTCTTATTTCATCTACTCGTGAAGCCTACAGCTCTATGTGTGTTAACGAGGGCCGGGCAATAAATCGAAAATGTGTTGTGTGTATGTATTCATTGCAGGAAAAATATTAATTTAATACAACACTGATTGATACATAAATTATTCAAACACTTTGGGATTTAAACACCTTGTTCATTCAACACATTTGATTATATCAACCTATAAAGTTGTAAAGTCATTTATGATTCAAGGAAGGCAAACTGTATTCAGAGTAAAAGTGCAGAAAGTCTTGTTTTCTGCATGGACTACTTAAAAAGATAAGGAAAACACATTATGGCTACTTATTTGCTTGTATGTCGTAGATCCTTGCTTTTCTTGTTTGGAGGCTAGACAGATGTAATGCTTCCCTGGATGTGTGACGCAGTTTGTGTCTGCAAATAATAAGTTAATTTCTGTTCATTTGTGATGTAAATACTTGGCCTTTGGGTGCGTTACATCGTTATCGAAATTTCTGACTCTTATCGAAAACAATTTTCTCATGTCAATAAATTTGATAATAAGAAAAATGAAAAGATGTGTGTAGGTTGGCAATGCTCATTAGGGCTGCAACAACGAATCGATAAATTCGATGAAAATCGATTACTAAAAGCGTTGGCAACGAATTGCGTCATCGATTCGTTGTGTCGCACAACTCTTCCAAAAGCGCCCCCCCTTCCCGCCCGCCGTTGCGCGCAGACCAGAGCAAGTCAGATCAGCGCGAGGGAGAGCCGCAGATCAGCGCGAGGGAGAGCCGCAGATCAGCGCGAGGGAGAGCCGGCAGACTTGCGCTGCTGCGAACCGGTTCCGCATTGTTGCACAGCGATCCAGGCAGCTGCTTCCAGCGCACGGTCCATTCTCAAAGTGGCGCAACCAAAAAACTATAATTAGCACACGATCGTTCATGTCCGCATGTTCTCTATTTTCTGTCTTATTTGTGCCTGAAGCTCGCTACAGCGGAGCTCGTCACCTGTGCTGTGGTGATGTCACCTCACGCAGCATCGAAAACGCGCTCTGCGCTTTTCGGTCAGGAGATCCCTTTGACCTGCTCAAAAGTAACTGATGAGGTGAAAAGGTAAGAATCCAGGCAACAGATTTTCTGGAGAATTAAGAGGAGATGCAGGAAGATGAGAGACAGACAGGACAGGAAAATAGTTCAATAAAAACAAGAAAACAAAACAAAAGTGTTGAAAAGTAAAATGTAGGTAGAGTTATCTCCACTACACGTTTTTACCAGTAAAAAACAATAAGTTATACACATGTCATATTTATACATCTGATACAATTCAGATCACCTTCAAAACTCAGTCACACACCCAGGGCCGTTTCAAGACATTTTGGGGGCCAAGGCAAAATGCCCCCCCCCAATAACTGGGCTCCCCAGAAGCCTCTGTGTAATTCATGCCCTCTCCAGTAGTGTTAGTTATATGGTGTTTATAAAAGCCCCTCAGACATTACTGACATGTTCTAATTAGAGCTGAAACGATTCCTCGAGTACCTCGAATAATTCGAGTACAAAAAATCCTCGAGTCAAATTCTCTGCCTCGAGGATTCGTTTAATTCATATTTAATTAATTCATGGCTTTGCAATCGCCTGGGGTCATGTTTCACCCGGACCGAAATAAGTGACGCACATGCCCACTGGACTGAATGCACACGCGAGTAGCGAATATAACTTAACTTTCTCTTAACAACGTGGACCCCGGTGGAGTGCGAAAAAGACAGAAAATGTCAATGGTGTGGGACCATTTTTCACGTCGTAAGGCGGAAAACGTAGTCCAGTATAAATACTGTAAAATGGATTTAGCCTACCACAACACCACATCCTCCGTGCTGCAGCACCTGTAAATGTCACTTCTGCAAGCGGACTCGGAGCCTCTACAAGATAATGCATTTTAGCCTGTATTTCTATATATTCTGCGGACACTGTGCGACTTTTCCGTTTGTAGCACTTAGTTTCAGCTCACACCGTACATCTGGTAACAACACGTCGGACTTAAAATGTGCTAAAAAATAGCAGTTTTTACACAAATGTCGGACTTTCTATTGTGTTATTGATGTCTGTTGTCCCTCGGGGTTTCTGTAGGAGGACACGGGTATTTATGAGTGGCGGAGGAAAACGAAAGAAAGTAAATAAATGTTTTGTGATCAGTATAATTTGACAAAACCACAGCAAACATGCTTTTGGCAATCCTTGTTAGTGTGAGAAAAAAAAAGTGTGGAAATTAAAACAGACGTGTGTTAATAGGGAAACAGCCGGCGAGCTGTTTGCGA